ATGAAACTAGTTCGCGCAGACATATACAGATTCCTTCGATGTCATCTCCGATTCGTCTTCATCCCAATCTTCTGCGCAGCGATGCACCAAGTCCAAGCCCAGGTCTCAGGCGATACGCAGATGATAGTCAATTTGGTGATATGTCTCCTGATAGAGTATACTCTCATATGGGGACCGAAGATGATCCATTTGCGGATCCTCATTCTACTGTTGCATTTGGATCACCCATTCATCGTCTCAATACTGGACATAGTCTTCCAGTTAGCGATTGGGATGATGTTCTTAGCGAGGGCGAGGAGATCAAACTTCATGAAAGAATTGGCTTCTTTGATAATCGTGTCAACGATATCGTTGGTTCGTTGTTGGCTGATAGATTGGATCCAATTGAAAGGATTCTGGAGGGCATTACAGATTCTTTGCATGCGTTACCTTATACCGTCAAAACTGAATCACATCGCAGAGAACAGCGCAGCATGTCTGGTGCACTGAGTGATGCTGATGATGAAGATGATGAAGAACCTGGAAGATCTGCTAGTCCAAGAAGAAACGCAAAGTTAGAGAAAATTAGAATGGTCGTGTTGGAGGCTCTCAATACTCATTCATCAAGACCTCAAACTGCCATTACCCCGACTACTGCGTCGATGCTGCCTGACTCGCGCAATGTTCTTCAAGCTCTGGATGAAATGAAGGAACATTTTACTCAATCCTCACAATCAGCTTTCAATGTGGAAGATCTCAAGAAGGCTGTTGAAGAAGTTGTTGAAAGGAGAATGCCTGGTTCAGTCAAGACTGATGATGTTTCTGCTATTCAACTAGCTGAAGCTGAAGCGAAAATCGCCGCTCTTGAGCAGCAAGCCCACTCTAGGTACATTGAGATGGAAGAGAGTACTCGAGCTAGAATTTCCGAGCTGGAGGAAAAGCTTCATCGAGCTGATGATTGGGTTGAGGAAGAAATCAAGAAGCGCAGGGCTGCTGAAGATTCCAAAGCTATGACAGAAAGACTTCTGGCAAGTTCTCTGGAAGAAGAAACTCGATTAAGACAAATCGTCGAAGAAAAGAGTTCAAAGGCGGAGATTGAATTTGCCAATCGACGAAAGGCTGAAGATCGTCTGGCTGAGGCGCAACGTCTACTTCGTGTCTCATCCGAGGAGGAAGATCGACTTCGTGACGCCATGTTGGAAAAGGATGCGAAGATGCGACAGATTGCGGAGGATCGTGATCATAAGGTAAGAGGCATTGAAGAGTCAAGAAATAAAACAACCATGCGCATCGCCCTTCTGGAAGCTGCTCAGGAGAATTCTCGCAAGACCGAAGCAGATCTTACTGCCACGATCCACATGGCCGAGTCTGAATTACGAGAATCACGTTCATTAGCCCACCGATGGCAACTGGAAGCCGAAGGAGCCATGGAAGCCGCCAAGAGACATAGCGAGGATGCGGAACAAGCCAATGAAACCAATAGGGACCTCAGGAGGACCATCGAGACCTTGAAGAACCAGATGGAGGAAAGTATCCGAGTCCGCGAATCCATGAGATCGAAATTAATGGATTTGCAGGAGGATATGGCCACAGCCGCCCGAAATATCTCACAAGAAAATTCTCATCGTGCCAAGAAGGAACAGGAATTACTTGCCAGACAGGAAGTCCTTGACGCTAAACTTCATGCCGAAGCTAGGACAAGGGAACGACTCGAACTGGAAATTGAACGATTGGAAAGTGGCGAGAGACAAGGTATGAGAGCTGTTAATGAGTGCAAGAGGTTAGAAGCTCTCGTTATTGAACTTCGCAATGAAAATCATGCTGCTCATAAAGATGTCATGAGATACAAGAGAGAATTTGAGGAAGCTCGCGAATCTGGCTTGGGTGAAGTTGCACGTACGAGAAAATACATGCAAGTCGAGGTTGAGACTGCCAATAATGAGGTCAATGTTGTCAGGGAAGAACTTGAGAATCAAATCTCCAGACTTCAAGCTGAGATTGATCTTGTCAAATTGGATGCCGAGACTGCAAAGGAACAACACGATATGCTTTTGGAAGCCGCTCAAACTGCCAAGAAAGACATGTTTGATGACATCACAAGAAAGCATCAAGATCAACTTGAGGATTTACAAGATAAATTGAAGCGACAACTTGAGAATACTATTGTGGATGCACAAAGATCAGAGCAACATCTTTTGGAACGATTGAGTTTGAGCACGGCCAAGACAGAACATCTTCAAGATCGTGTTAGTCATTTGGAGGATAAGTTGGAGGTCGCTAGGTCTGCTGCACAAGCTGCCGCTACTCACGCTAAAGCTGCAAGATCTGCAAGTGTAGCTGGGTCCTTACCATCGCCATCACTACAAAAAGTATCCACACGTGGACTGGATGTGCCAGAGAAGATTTCACCACAAGCACTTCGAGAATCTATCATGGTTCTACAAGATCAATTACAAGATCGCGAATTGAAGATTGAAGATCTTGAGCAGAAATTGATGGATGTGGATCCTGAGGCTTCAACAAAGATTAGCAAACGTGATGATGAGATTAGCTGGCTACGAGAACTTCTTTCCGTACGCAAGAGTGATCTTCAGGATATTGTGCAGGCCTTGTCTAAAGGAACATATAATCCAGATAATGTTCGCGATGCCGCTATTCGACTGAGTGCTAATCTTCAGATGGAGGAGCAAGAACGTGAAAGAGCTATGAATGGTGGCTCGGCTATCAATCTTCCTAATATCGCAGCTTCTATTGCAGCTAGTCCACGAGTTGCACAAGTTGCAAATGCCGTAGGGCCACTTGCCGCAGCTTGGGGAAACTGGAGAAATAAGAATCAAGCAAAGGATTCAAGTGCTCTCATGAGTGGTGGTAATGGCAATCATACCTCAAGCGGTAGCTCAACGCCATCGAAAGCTGGAAGCTCATCTGGGTTCCTGAATGGATTAATGACACCACCCGCTAGTAACGCCAGACAGTTTCCTAGTACTCCTGGAGCACCTCCACCGGTAATTATTAGTAGGGAACCAGCCACTTTTGCGAGAGATAATGCACTAAGTGCTTTCAATGCCACAAGTCAACGATTCGCTGTTAGGCAAGGTGGACTTGGTTCGAGAACTGCGACACCCAGACGTGCAGATAAAGTACCAGTTAGAAGGGAAGCACCAGCAACTCCACCAATGATGTCGAGAAGTAGCTATGATAACGATGCTGTAGTGTCAAATCATGATGAGTTGGGTAATGGAAGTAGGCGTGGAAGTTCACTTGGGCAACCAAGTTTGGGAATGAGCCTAGGTGAAGAACTTGGGGACTTTGGAAGTGAGGAAGGCTTCTATGATGATGACGAAAGTACAGTGGATGAAATGGCTGGAATATATAGTGGAGGATTCGGACGTTGATTAGAAAATTTTCCTTTGTCATTTCTTATTACTTACAATTTTTATTGCAATTTGAGTTTTGAGTTTTGAGTTTTGAGAATATTTGAGGGGAGGGGAGGGGGAGGGGGAGGGATGGGGCTCAAAAACTTCTTATACCATTACTGCTGAAATTTAGAGTGGTTCTCTTACATACATACATATTCTTTAATAGTTCTAGAATGATACCCGGAGCGCGAGTAGGGAGAGTGGTAGGTGGGACGAGGGAGGGAGGGAAGAGGGAGGGGGATATTGGATATTGGATATTTAGTTTCCTTTGTTAGTGTGGATGAATACTTTGGTAGTCGAATGAACATATATCACGTGTAACTTTGTGTGTACCTAGTCGATGTTGAAAAGTGATTGATTGGTGAGTGTATGTGTTTTGTTTGTATGTTTGGTTTGTATGTTGGGTGGAGTGGCATGTATCAACAGCTTGAGTGTAGATTGGTGCTTTTGATAGTAAATTCGATGAAGCATCGCTTCTAACAGTGCCCCCATTCCTTCCCAAATCGCTATTTGGAGTGTGCAGTTTGGGATATTTTATCTTCTTGCGTGGTATTCTACAGGATGGTTAATGATGGGTTTGTTGTGACAATACCTTTCGCTGGATGCTTTGAGGATTTTGTATGCGAATGTCGCTTTGGAATTCGTGGGTTGTTTCACGTGCGAGGTGTATTGGTCAATAGATACTTGGAGTTTTGATTGTGTGTGTGTGTTAGTATAAAGTTGGTTCTTCGGTTCATCTGACTTGGTTGTTCACATGCCAGGTCTAGAATGGAATGAGATATACATGGGGATTAATTCGTTTTGTTTTTGGGTGGAGATGTCGAATTTTGTTGTCTGTTGTTTGGTAGGTAGGTAGTTTGCAATCTTTCTCGGATTGTGTGGTCTCATGTCGGTAGCGAGTTTCTCGGCCGGTGGGATCTTACATTTTTTTGTATTTTTTTACGGTTTTTTCGAGTGCAATCTTGGTAGAGCATAGATATAAATTTAAATGACGCATTGCATCTTTATTCTTTAGTGCTTGCGCAATCAGCGGAGCAGCATTGATTGACTCCTTAGGTTGCAAACTCAATGAAGATATTCAGGTTTAGAATATAAGAAGAAGCGTATCATGATCGTTCTCTTTATGTATAGGAAGGAATCTCCAGCCAACAGCCTCGCAGGAGAAACTTGTAATATAGCTACGACAAATGTTAACCCGTCTGGTGATAAGTAAGATGGCCCTTTGATTACAGATCGAAAGCTTTTATTTGAAGCGGTAGAACCAAAAAGACGTGATTGGATAGAAGGTAATTTAAATGGGTATTGAATTTGAGCCAAACTCCTTATACAGCACCCTCACTGTAATAATATATTATTCACTGAATGAACTAGGATTGTTACCCAGATAAGTACTGGTAATTGACACAGTAGTATCGCAGTATATCGTTAGGCTTTCAACTTGCGCAGTACTCTGCATCCGTATATCATTTCCAATAAGATATTTAAGAATGCTCTTTTTCCTGCGTGCGAAACTCCTCTTTATTTGATTACCACCTCTCATTGAGTTTGAAAGCTCTACCAAACTTTCCGGATACTCAAACATCGACATCACAGACTCCTACAATGTCACGACGCATAAGTTTTTGTTATCTCATGGGTGATCTGGGATGCAAAAATCAAATCAAACTAATACCCAACAATGACGAGGTGCTTGGAAAGATCATAGAAGCTATGGCCTTACTACTTCCGGAGAATCCTGCAGATCGTGAGCTGCGAAAGTTCACGCAAATGTATCCCAATATTTACCCATTCGTTGATACGAGGGAACTTGTTCTTGATCACTGGCAACCAAATAACAAGCCATGGAGAATGGGCATCACGTGCTGTATCGAGCTTCAGCACTATCATGAAAGATGGCTATCAAGCATACCTTTCACAGTCAATGGCGTACTATATTGTTACAACGATGGTGAGAATTCTGACCAATTCTGAAATAACACTACTAACAATCATACGTATGTAGAAGATCTCAACTTTTTTTATGATAAGACAGCCTGACCAGCCTCAAGATCTTATGTCACCCGACAAGGCAAACCCAAAAAGAAATTTATAGGTCCTTTCTATTCCGGAGCTTCTCGTCCTCTTAAAGACGTGGATCGCATTCCATATGAAATCAAGGAAATTCGAAAATTACTTGGTACCCATCGAAGCGAACGTGGATGAAGTCTTCCGAGGAGTCATCGATGCCATCTTTTAAATTTCCCAAAAAGGTATGTCTCTGAGCCTAATTCTGGAAGCTCCGATCTCTAATCAGAAACAGAGATTTTGAACATGATCTTCGGTTTCACACTCGCTGCTAAAGGTGGAGTGGTTGTTTCTCCGGCAGTAGTGACCTCCAATTGGTATAAATCATACTCTGAAGCAGATTATCGGATCTCTTTCCCAGATTCGCCTCATTATAACAGATATAAGTCTTTCGAGAGTGGTTCGGATGTGACTCTTCGCAAGAACGTAGGTCCTAGACCAGGCATTCCTGCCTCATCCCCATACGTTGAGCTTACTAGAGTTCTTCGTCCTATAATATATGCAACATGTCTACGTACTTGCAAGAGAATTTGGGAGCTTGGATCACAAATATTATATGCAGAAAATGCTTACAGCTTCAAGATGAACGGTACGGAGATTACCGACAGTCCACCAACTTTGATGTTTGAGGGCAGCAACTATCACTGGCCAAGTCCTGAAAACCCTATCTTGTCCCAGGAGAGTATCTTGAATGGTTCAACGGACAAAGAATTGTCAGCTAGAGAATATGAATCTAAAATCGAACATGTCATCAATCAACTTGAGAGGTGCGTCCCAATTCTTGAGTTGGAGGGCTGGGTTTATTACGATCCATTCATCCGATTTCTCTACACAATAGAACCGCAAAGCAGAGCTTCAATTCGCACTTTACGATTCACAGGCGCCCCAAAAACCCACGTGCGAGAAGATCAGGGATGCGATTGTCACGGTGTAGATCTGTTATCCAACATGCGTATATACATCCCCTTTATCAACAAATTTTGTACAGGCATAAAGAAACTTGTACTAGATATGGATATAGATTGTTGCGTACATATGGGTAGTGTAGGAAACGTTGTAAGAAGCTTCGATGAAGTCTTGATGCCGTTTTTGGGCGAACTTGAGAAACTTCAAAGAGTTCGCACTCTGGCGATGAAACGGAGAGTATCTCCAAAGGGCAACTTTTATAGAAGAGTACTCTATAAGGATATTGATTATACCAAAGATACGATCAATTCTTCCAGAAGCAGGGTCGAAAATAAAGTATGAGCCGGCGAATTTGATGACTGAGGATATATCGTTGGAGATGGTGGTGGAAGTTGATATTAGGGGGCAAATTATTTTAGGAGTTTTGTCGCTGACAAGAAGGAGCGATGAGATGTAGTATAGTCAGATCATGTGGTTATTGCCAATAATTGCTTCAATATTGATGATACAACTTCAATTAGGTTTCTTTTTTATATAGCTAGATGCGTGAAAGCTGTGATTGAATACTTGCCATGCTGAGTCAGCAAATTCAAGCCTTCGATAAGAGTGCACGGACTGATGGATTCAGTTACAAAATTCGTAGTGAGCATCAATGATTTGATTTCAAAGTTGATTACCTCATTTTTCCGGTCTAATATATATTGATAGATGAGTCTAGGGAGTAGTTAAATGGAAGTCGAAAGAGACCTGCAGAGTCCAAACTCAAGACTGGTCCACGAGCCCATGCATCTCAGCCTTGTACAACGGAAAGGATCAAGATATCGCAATTCATCTCTTGAATTGCGAGACTTACTAATTTGGCGTCGCGCTCATTATCATGACCTCCATTCTTGGGCAAGGCTACCTGCAATGAGATGTATCTTCGTTTCCACAGATGATCAGCAGTAATTCGAGATGCTGTTCATAAGTTGGTAACTTCCGCGACCTCATTCAATAATTGCGAAATGAAAATGGATGGCATAGAACAGATGAGAATTATCCAGATCGCATTACAGTCAAGCGTTGTCTACACCTAATGTTATAATCCATGTCAGACATCCGGTATGGCAGATCGAAACTGTTATGTCCTTGATGGTAGTCCCTGAATGAGACTAGCAAGGAGATAGAATTCTTGTTGTCTGCATGCTCCGCCATCCTTTATCTTGTGCATCTACACAAAAGTCGAATTGCCGTCGTGAATGAAGTCGATGTCAATCTGACCGTACGGAGTCTCGACAGGTAGTGACCTTATACTTGAGTTCGATCATCTCATGTGATGCATTTTCGTTTCTACTCTTTAAAACAACTTCTATCTTGCGTGTGGCCTAGCAAGTGCTTTCAAATTCTCATTTTATTGTCACATTGTGTGGACAAAGACTCTCAAAACTTGCCGCAAGATATCAGCTCTAATTTTGTCCACTCCGCTTGGATTATGCATATCTTCGCATCAATACTTCCGTTGAGGATGTTGCTTCACATGGTATTCTCTAAGCTTGAAATGCCTCGGGATTCATTCCTGCTAGTATGGTAATGATTTCCACGATGCATCTGAGCCCCTAAACTTCTACAGATTCCTGTTTACGTGGGTTTTAGCACATGGTTGGTGTAGACTTCATTCTTTTTCTTGTTAATGTTACATGCATTCTACTTGATGGATAAATGTAAGTGATTATGGATACCTGTTATGAGAATGGATAGCATAGTCAGTCGTCCCATCCAACAATTTTGCTGAGAGTTTTGAAGTTCCGATAGCTCCCCGGCTAAGACTTCAATATGATGGCGTTGTGAGTTTTCGGAGCCGATCTGCTCTTCAAGATCGAGCGCCATTTGAATTCACGGCTTTCATCGGATGAAGCCTTCAGAGGCAGTCGAAACTTCTAGGTTATTGTATTCTGCAAAGGAACCATTGCTAAGAACCCTGATCATGTTACACCCCGCCAGAAGTACAGGTAAGAGATTGACATAGTATTATACCAGAATAAGAACTGAAGTTAGATACCTTGTGACCTTGTCACTATTGTTGTGGTTGTAGCCTAATTTACCTATTGTTCCAGTGCGGATAGGTGCCGATACGGTAGGAGACATGTCAAAAACTCGCTCTTGTTCAGAGATGGAAGGTTCATTAAAAATTCGGGGAAGGCATCTAACTATGATGTATCTCATCTTAGTTCCCTGTAAATAGCCTGGCAAAACCATATCTTCAAGGTTTACTATCTTGCAAGTAACAAATCACTGCTGGTACTCAACGCCATCAACGTATCTCATATAGAAGTTCATTAAAGGCCGAGGTACCTGAAGGTTGAGCCAATATGGAGAACTGCTCATCCATCCCACCATCCAGCTATCCACAATCAGCAAGTGGTGATAAATATCATCCACTGCAGTTCTTGAAGTTTAATTCATCGGAAAATCGCTCAAGTTCTCCAGTCGATCTTACACATTGAATCATATTATTCGCTATGTTAATCTGCACAGCTATGCACGATAGCTAGTATTGGGAAGTTCCTTAACGTAAATTCAATCGGCTGATTACTCACTTCTTCACTTTGAGTCGTATATGCCATCTAATCCTGGTTCTTCTGTAATTCACATGTTGGAGTCTTCAATGAAACATGTGAGTACCGAGGAAAGCCTCCTTGAGGCCCCTCATTATATATCCCTTTCAGGAACAAAATTATGGGGGCTGTTATAGTTCAGGGATTCCCCGCATCCGCAACAGCTAATGCATAACCCCGGTTAAATGCAACAGGAACTCCGCATTTTCACGTCTAGGATTCCTTTCCTTTCCATGCCAAGATTTGGATTTACTATGCTCGTAGAGCTTGCTCACTACTAAGGACTTGGGGATGTCGGGTCATAATATAAGGAAATAACTATAAAAGGGTTAGAACTTCCACCTTGATCATCTGTCATCGCGCAATCTCAAAAGTCAATCACACAATAACATCATTCACCACATATATCTTTGATCAAAAATCAAAAATCATGAAGTTCTCATACGCTGCTATTGTTCTCGGAGCTGCCTCCGTCGTTTCGGCCCAAAGTGCTGCTTGTACAGCAGCTGTGGCCGCTGTGCCTGCTTGCGGCGTAAGTCATCTTTTTCTTTACCTCAATTATGTTGGCCTCTACAACATTATCCCTTCACTCTCAAATCTATCATCGATTTCCTCGCTTGATTTTCTGTGTCAATTCTCAGTTCATCGTCTAACATTCATCCTAGGCTTCTTGCATCAATACAGCTGCTGCGACATATTGCACGGCGGGGGACTACGCTTGTGAATGCGCAGCTGCCACCTTTTCCAAGATTGAGAGTGACGCTACCAATTGTGTTATTACCAATTGTGGAGCTACCGTCGGACTTCAAGTCTTGAGCGCTGCCAATGCCGTTTGTACCGCCTGTGCTTAAGCTTGCACTTTTGTGATCTATGGGTCATTCAAAGTCCTTGTATAGGTTGAAAGGATATGGTGGTGTTTGGTTTGAAGCAGAGCTATGTATGGTTGGGCTATGGTTTGGATGGAATGGTAATCAATGATTGAATCTCATGGGTGGATAATTGTTGTCCATTGAAAATGAAATTTAAAGTGTCTGAAAACTAAAGACAACTGAGATCCCGCTGCCGTGAATTTTCCAGAATCATACTTACTCAAGACGATCTAGAAATAGAGAATTCTTCAGTGTTGCTCGGCTTATAACACCTGTAATAATTTTTGGAGTGACGCTAGACCCTTTGAGCGTAATAGACCTAGCGTAACCATAGCCCTAATTACTAGTATCTCACACCTCTGCTCATGACATCATAACCTAAAGATCAGACTTTTAGCATTGCTGGGGCAGCTAATAGTTGTAAGAACATCACTATATTTAGAAGAATCAACACTGACGAGAAGGTGAAGAACGCTCGGCGATGTCCTGTACTCACATTGTGTGTGATGCCAACATCCTTTCAATTGATCTACCGATGATGTATCTTATCTAATGTTCATCAGTGAAAGGGCTTGAAATATATTGCTTCGTTAATTAACATCGATTTTTATATAATTTTATTGAAAATTGTTTCATTCAGGTCGAAAAACTTCGCTGAGGTTGGGCGCTAAATCAAGGTTTAGGGGCGAGGGGGCTAAAAATTAGGGCTACTCCCATGTTGGTGACACTGAAGTTTGAAATAACAACCTCACAACGACTGCCCATCTTAAATATCATCACATCGCTATCATTGTCGCCGTCATTGTCGCCGTCATTGTCGCCGTCATTATTACGATTCTCATCATTTGATCTCTTGAATTTGGATCACAACCGCCTCCAATCTTATCACCATGTAATATGTGTCAATTTATTCCGCGAAGCAAATTTTGACCATTGAATATTTACGATTGGAGTTAGGTATCCAGAGTTTGATGAGACAACAGCGCTCTATCAATGAAAATTGTTTCCACGTACTCAATGGTTTCAAGTTAAGATGAATACCAATTGTAATTACATATGGAGCGATACTTGGTACTTTCTCCCGTCTTCATGATTTGATATGTATTTTTCCAATACCAGCTTCTGCCAATGTTTGTTCTGCACTGGATTTTATTCCGCTTTATTCAGATCGATCATCGTGCATATTTTTCTTTGCCGGAAATCTTCAATGGAGTTATAATTCAATTGCGACATTAATAGTCCTTCCGTCCCAATCAGAATTTACCCAACAAGTAAGCTTTCGGTATAGTTTTGTTGCGGGAACCGTATTTCGCCATTGAGCCACGGAGAATTTGGGAAATTTGCGGGGTATCGTTGTAGTTGACGATAGAGCCAGACTTGTGAAGATACTTTATCACACATCTTCACCCAATTTTTGTTCATGAGGTTGTTGACGTTCTTTGCTCTCACATACTACAGTTTGAGTCATGTTATCTAAATATTTGTTTCTCGTTCCTTTATTGGTTGAGAGCTGTATAGCTTTCCCGTTCCTAAACTCCTTTTCGCCTAGACAAACAGGAACCAAATATCTTTTTTCCTTGTGAGGATAACTCAGCTATTTTTGAGGGACATTATTAATCAATATTGCTAGCGGTGACTCGTACACAAGAACACTCTTCTCGATAACTGGTACGAAACCTTCTGCAGAAAATCCGATTGGAAATCCTCCGTTTCCAGGCACTACAACAGATGCGGGTCTCAATTGGATCGATTATTTGGTCACCGCATACAATACCTCCTTAACACTATCATATAATTTCGCTGTTGGAGGCTCAACAGTGGATAACAATGTCGTTCCTTCCATTACAAACGGTGCTAAATCACTCGTTGAACAAACCGCAATCTTCACTGCTAATCTTGCACCAAAACCTTCATATGCCCCATGGACTTCGGCCAATACACTTTTCGCTGTATGGTTTGGTATCAATGATATCGATCTCAGTTATACAAGTTCTAATGAGAATACACTATTTACGGAGATCTTCGATACCTACTGGAAGCAGCTTGACATAATGTATTACTACGGAGGTAGAAACTTTGCATTGCTGACAGTCCCACGTGAGTCTCTCTCATGGTGCTTCATTTGACGATCATGAATCAAGAATTGACTGGAGTGAATAGCCACCAACAAGACCCCCAGAGTTCTAGGATTGAACAGTACTTCACAAGCGGCGTATGCCTCAAGCATTGCAGCTTGGAATACTCTTGTCAAAAACACGGCCACTCAGTTCCAATCCGAAAGATCTGGGACTACTGTCAAAGTGATCGATACTTCAGTAAGTCAAAACTGTGACCTGGATTTTCGTACATAACTCACACAGCTTCACAGATTCCTTTCAACACTGCCCTAAATAACCCAACAGCTTATGGTTCCCCAAATGCAGTTTGTTATAACACAAATGGAGTGAGTTGTTTGTGGTGGAACAGCTTTCACCCTGGTCAAGCGGTTCAAAAGTTGGCTGCTGCAGCATTTGCAGGAGCTTATAGTGGTACATTCTTCTGATCACTGATCATCGTTGGAGATCTCATTGAGTATATATTTTGCAACACAATTGGAAAGATAGAGCCCTTCCTTCATTTAGCATATGGTATATGCGAAGTGAGACGATCAAAGCAATGGAACGAAATTTGGTGCACACGTGCTTTTCAATATGCTACTAGATCCTTCATATGATGATGAACATTCATGTGCGTATCTAGACTTAAGTTCTCTTTCTTTTCTCATGGCTCGCAAGACTAAATCATACCCGAAGTACCAAGATGTAAGCCTTTCAGTGGCTAGGTAGCTCAGTAAGCTCGTATCCAAGACTTTCGGAGCCATTGGTCGGGCTACCTATTATCGAACAGTTTGTCATCGTTTCGTACTTACTGTACCGCATGACAGCAAAATTACATTAAGCACATTGGCCCTTGAAGAAAAACGGTAGTGGGAATGTTTGAATCTCTATGCGTATGCTGTTTGATATACTTGATATGATGTATTCTCTCGACTTTATTAACTTACGTTCAGTATCTACCCTGTAGAACTCTTAAATTGAGTCTAGAGTGATTCTATCTTCGTAAATCATGAGTAGTGTGAGCATGAACGTCATTGGGGAGTCAAACACTCAATGTGATTCACGAAGATTTCAAGAGAGATTCAATATTATTCTACATTTCCGTAGATTATTGTCTTACTACGGACTCTCATCTCAACTAGGGGAGCTGTTCGTCGCTGTTCACGTTGGCGCATCTATGTCTTCTTTATCTACACATCCTGAGGTCAGCATTGTAAGACAAATAGACTAGGTTACAGAATCTTGTAATTTTTTATATCAAAAGCCCAATACTTCGTCCCATCATTCTCCCCATAAATTTTCAGTCTCGCTATCCAACACTCGACATCCACGAAAGCGAAATCACTAATCCAACAATGCATTCCAGAAATTCAGCCTCGATATCCCTCTTCTTCAGCCTCACTGCCACCGCCGCCCTTTCAATCTCAGCAGTAATTTCAGAAAGTCAACTCAATCTCTAGAACGATTCCACATATTCAATTCCCCACGAAGAAATAACTCTACCCACCGACGGAACATGTGATAATCTTCCTCTTCCCAGCGCGCAATCAATTTCTGCAGCTATTACTGTTCCTGGTTGTATTTCTCCTAGTATTTATTTATGTAGATGTTTCTTGTTTCTTTGACTTGAATCCTGATATGGTGTCTGAATAGTTCATGGATTTACTTCTTTTGATTTTGGGGGTAAAATCTTACAAGTCTTTTGTTCACTGTCATTACCTACCTAGTATTAGAATCACATAGAATTATCTGAATAGTTCATTGGTGGAGCGATTTGATTGTGCTATCGTACTGCCAAATCCTGCTCTCGCACTGTTGTTCCCTTCACAGCAAGCAGGCACATTGCCGTTTCTCGCCCAATTCCTACTAGCTGAATACGACCTCAACATGGATGTATATAAAGCTCATATTAGACTCTCTAGAATTTATTTCATCAAGCTTTGGCAAGTATGCTTCCGCTCGTCACTCCATACTCCCTGTGTCCTTCCATGATTCGTCTTCAACGACTACCAGCTGCATTCATGATGAACTTCTCAGGTAGTCTTGGCGTGCATCCTCTAATGCTCTCTGCCAGCCCGATCCGAGAACCACCTTTTGGAACATTGATTCGACCTCCGGAACGTGAAAAGGGGCTCCTGTAAGCTTTTCTATATTTCTCGCAGAAATCGAAATCCGTGAAAGTAGCAGTTTAATCTCATCGTAGTACGCAAGTCTGGGAGCCGGGCTAAGATTGTAATTTTCGAAGTCTTGTAAGTCTTCAACATATCCCCATTGCAGGACTGTAATTGCGCCATGAAGACGGACTGGCTCAAAAAAATCAGATCGTCCTGTTCACCGGCTTTAGAATGGTCTTTGAACACCACCGTCAATTCCTTGAGACTTGTAAAATAACAAAAAATGACGGATATGAACTTGACAAAATCGATGTCATGTTTGTTTTCACGACCCACTCCAGAAAACTCGGTAACCAGGACTTCTATGGCTAGGAATTTGACCTTTTCCCAATCTTTCTGTCTTCCACCATCTAGCCCGTAAACCAGTGAATTGTAGAAACTCAGTTTATTGGAGGCGATGTGCATATCTCTATGGCTAAGAAAGAGAGTATCCAGCTCAAAATTAAAGAACACCATTGGTTCTGCAATTCCAAATGCAAAGGAGTATCTCTTCTCCACGAGCATTCTCAAATCGCAGTTGACTGATAATAATGCAGCAATGCTAGGGGGTAGAGACTGTGGCGAATACATGCCGATTAGATTATCATCCAGATCTCTTTGTGGTTCTTTCATATGCCAATTATACCCTTGATCAATGGATCCCTGTTCGTAGGGAGGTATCGTGGCATCATAATTAATATTTCGAAAAAATTCCATAGTTAGGATGGGAGCTTGCCCTCCAGTACAGCCAATGGTCGTCATCTCTCGAGTTAATGAGTACGGCATCACTTTGCGACGTACAGGATGCAAGACGTACATACTGTCGACTAAATAGCCAAGGAACCTTTATATTTGCCAACGGTCTTTCTCAACTCATCCGTGAAGGCGTGGTGCTTCATATTTTGCCATCGCTTCACCCATGTAAAGCCATTGTTCACACATTCGTCTGGAGCTTAAGCTCGTCTCTTCCTGATATCTAGTTGATTAGACGCAGATATTGCCATTCACCGCGCGTGAAAACTCTCCACAATTCGCCCTTAGGACAAGTTGCCCTAGATATAAGTAGATGATCACAGCTCGCAAGTTATCTGCTCATAAATCTCATATTTTGAATTTATACCGACAATTGGCGCATAGTACAATTTCTATAGTCATCATGGCCACAACACAGCAATTTAAAGCCCCATACGTGTATAGTATGTTATCTTCGCTTTGATATGTCTAATATCAACCTAATTAGGATCCAATGAGTTAGAGACCAGAACAAGGAGGCCGGAGAACATGTCGGGGAAAAGTCTGCCAATGAACTACATTAAATGCATGCCAGATGAGGATAATATGAGACCCCTAGAAAAGATGAAAGAGCGAGCATATGACCTGGAATCACAGGCAGTATGAGGGGAAACAGGTATAACGAGCACATTTGGAAAAGAAAAAAACTCAGGAAAGATTTCAAAAAATAAAAATTTGCTCATTCGTTGGTCGGACTTGCGTCCATTCTGAGCATCAGATGCATGGCATTGAGATAAGCACCTTGCATCAAGTGTTCTCGCAAGTCCCTAAAAAGGCATTTTCGATTTCACCTGCTGTTGCAAATGAGAATTATCCTATAGATAGATCAATAAGACGGTGAACAACGTCTGCACTACGATTGAGAAATATCCAATATTCAAGTAATCGAAAATAAAATCACACAAAAGTGGTGTCGAAGCAGGTGGAGAACGTTCAAGGGTCTACTAATCTTGGCCCCGCACCCACCATTGATCGCCTTCTTTAACGGTCTCGCCTCATACCGTGCATGCTGCACGTTAACTAACCTTTCAATCGCCTAGCGATCTCGCTGCGGCTCGGATATCCAAATCAAGTTTCGAGTCTGGTGGAATCCACACGGAAGTTTCCGACGAGCTGACAATAACAGTAACGATGCATATCGTTAGAGTGAACACTTTTTCAATTGTGGATTGTGCAAATCAGAGATCGAGGAAGTTCTTTATCTCTAGGTGTGGTTTATGTAATTGTATGCAGGGCACTTACCCATGTATGTATGCATGTTATCCAGATTCTCGTAATCGACTGATGCCAAGAATTCGCTGTAAATGCATCGCAGCGATTTGATGCATATACCGTTCACAACGGAGCTGAGATGCAGCCCGATGAAAGGGGAAGGCATTATTCATATGAGATATTTTGGGTGGCAATGTATAAGAGAAAGAATATTATAAATACCTCGTGATATTACGACGTTGAGAAAATACAGATCAACAACACAAACGTCAAGAACAGTATTAGGATATCAATTTTACGAGACTCCTCTCATATTCAGAAACAGATCCAAGAATCTAGTCAGCATGCAATTCTCAACCATATTTGCCATCTTCGCCGGCCTCACTCTTGTCGCTGCACGTCCAACAACTCCTGCTGCACTTCAAGCTCGCGTGGAGGAATGCAGTTGTTCTGATGCGCAAGGCGCTTATGCTGTCTGCTTGTTGGAGAGTTGTGGCCATGGTTGCACAGATGAAGATTTCGCACCTTGTGTCGCCAGTGTTGGTATGTCGCTGCTTAGATAATATGATATGTGTAACAATGCTGATTGTTTGCAGAGGCTGAATGCATCACGGATTGGACTACTTGCCCATTGCCACCTGCGTAGAGGCAAGTGGAGTTGATCGTGAAGGGATGATGAAATAAAATGAAATGAAATTGGATGATATTTATGATTTATGATGGGATGTTAAAATGATGATCTGGGAATGAGAAGGATTTAGCGGTAATCCATTGACACTTTGAGAGCCCGTATTAGAAGGGTTTTTGATTGGCATGAGTTTCCTGTTTTCAGCGGTGGAATCTCAGGATGACTTAATGATATGAAAAGAAAAATGAAAAAATGAGCCAAAATAATTGAGTGGAGAATTACCTGAATAATCATGTGTGATAATTGAAACCACATCAAATCTATGGCCGAGGAACCAGCTTGACCTCAGTCAATTTCATCTAACCAGTTGGCCTTGAGGTCATCAAAAGCATCCTTAGTAATTTGGAAGAAAGATAGCATCGTGCCAACAGTGATATAGCAAAACACACACCAAGAGCAACTTCTTCCCGAACGGATAAACCAACCACTTCATTTCTCAGGTGACACACGGAGTCTCCAATCGAAAAATCTCGTAAAGATAACAGTAAAGATGTAGACATTATGAATCAGGTTCGTTTAGAGCTTGCTTGTCCTCTGCTCCTCGCACAACTCATTGAGGAATAACCTGGATGGACAAGTTCACCTTCATCGTGCCCTATTGTGGGAGACCAGCATTGGACCATGCCAAAGTCTGTTCTATAATTGGGAGAAAATCAGCGTTCGAGCAACGATTATCAGCCTTCTTTCTTAAGAAATTCACGTTCATTAGTAGAAATGACCTCCTTCTTTGCGTCTTTGCGTCTTTGCGTCTTTGCATCTTTTAGACGCTTTCGAGACAGCGTGTGAAAGAGAATCCATGGTCGATCTAACTTCATCAGACGAGTAAGAACTCGACGTAGAATTTTTACTAAAGAGCGGTTGTTAGATATGACTATGATGTCGATGGATATTTACTCAAGGTCAACTGCACGAGGAATAACCTTTCTTTGGGTTCGGTATAGCCGCGGCCCTGTCTGAAAGCTTTTTTGAGTGAGCCTCGCTGGATGATAGAGAGATCTAGCGCAGACACTAGTAGGCAGCGGTAGCTAATACAAGATTCTTGAGAGATACTAAAATCTTTGAGATTGTAAGAAGTTAGAAACGAGATGCAGATTGAAAAGATTGTGTGCTATGCAGCTTGACGCCTAGCGGGAGCACATTTTTATTTGACTCGATAGTTGGAAAGAGACAATATTTGAGCAGCATAAGGCCATATAATCATCCTCCGACATCAAGAACGAATGCCACTCTACCTTTTAATCTTCAAGAATTCCGATGTGTCGGCAACAACAGAATTGTTTCTTGTGAGGTTGAGCAATTCTTTGGCCGAAATTGTTCCGCGCCAGCGGAATTCTCTGGAAAGAGCTTGAACGCCCTAGTATTACTAGCGTCAAACACCTGAATCATCATCACTTGTCAAAACCTCAAACGTTACCACGATAATTTCTAACTACGAGTACTTATACTAGGTACCTATCTACAACATTCAAAATTTTCAGATGAGAACTTCTGCCGTATACATACCAACTATGAAACTCTTTACAATGAGGATTGGAAGCTACAAGTGTGCATCCATTGACAGAGAATGAATGGTTTCGTTTGTGCTACCAATTTTCCTCAATGGCTCCAAGGCTTATCATGGAGTAACCTACATATGGTATCAGATCCGATGGCCAACCTTAATTTGGAGATCCTTCTCGATTCTCGCTGTACATGCATATCATCTCAACAAATAGTCAGATCACCGGCTCATGGTGCCCCAGACCCCCGTTTGGATTGGACAATCAAATGAGTGCTTCAGCTTGCATCTGTCAGCCACAGCTTTATAAACCCTAGCTACTCATCATTCAACCCAGAATTTACGATAAAATAATCTTTCACTCTATATGAATGGTGCTTCCTTTTGGTGGACGATTTACTTCATACTTTCGAGGGAAAAGAATGCAAAGCGATAGAATTAGATGCCAGCGAAATGGTCGGCCAGTCATCGTCAGTTGCTTTGCGAAATGCCATGGTAACACCATCTCGGAAAAGTAATATGGGCTTCAGGTAAATACACCACACACAAGCCAAGATTCGATTTCTACAGCTCATTTAAATGACTCGGCATGTAAGTACATGATATGCAACAGATAGCCTTCACGTAAAGATAGGTGTCAGTAGATCTTCAACAGGAGATTAATAACTACATAACCCCCAAAAATCTATAGAGCGAGGAGGAAACACCAACATTTTATAGAGTTTCGATCAACTTCTCTGCATGCTCGTTTTCATCCATTACGACAAAACATGTTCAAGCGACCTTTTTACTTTTCACTCGCGGCAACTTTTGCCTACATAGCATATTTATATGCCGGAACTTCAACACAGAGTGAAGAAAATCACGTCGCGAAAAAGATTGGAGAATGGCGTGGAAAGAATAACACTGTCTTATTTGTCACTAATAGTGAACATGGATTTGCAAATGTCTTTTTGGCGACTAGTCATGCTTTACTCACGGAGTACAATGATCTCGATATCCATTTCGCAACGTTTGACAAACTAAAGGATGACATTACTTCCATCTCTGATTTCGCACTAAAAACGGGAAGTGAAAGAACTATTACTTTCCACGAATTGAAAGGTCCATCATACAAGAAATCTTTGAACGGTGGTGGTTTCAACGTTGATTTGGCGATCAACTAACCTTCACTCGCCGATTTCAACAAATTTTGCAGTAACTTGGAAAAAATGGTGATGCCCTGGACGGCTCCCGATTATCTTGATATCTACAGAGAGATCTCTGATATATTGGATACTGTAGATCCAGTTATTGTGGCTGTAGATCCAATATTTGGTCCTGGCGTTGATGCTGTAAGAGCTCAGGGACGTAATCATGTTATCATCTCACCAAATACACTGAAAGATAGTTTTGCAAAGTATCAACCTTGGGGAGCTGTACTTTGGAAGTATCCAGTGTAAGCAAATCAAATTTTCCGTCACAAATTGTACTCACAAATTTAGTTTGAGTTCCGCATTTCCATATCCAGTGCCCTGGCACCTCATTCCTTCAAACATATACAGGAACCTGCGTCTCGCATACAGTGTGCTATTCGCTCCAACTACTTCTTTCAAGCGCGCATATCTCAAAGAAGACGGAATTGAAACCCCCTTGGATTTTTTCACCGTATATCACAAAGACTATCCATGGATATCCCAAAGTTCTCAAGAACTCGAATACCCTCTCGACATCATTCCCGAGAATGTGGTCCAATGCGGACCTATTTTTCTTTCAACAGCCACAGCTGCAGAACAAGATCCAGAATTATCTGAACGGCCTAAAAGTTCCCTAACAGTCTTGATAAATCTAGGAAGCGTGGTAGACTACGATCTCAGTGCCGCAACCGAGATGACAAAAGCGATCAGAATTCTACTCGACAATACTGCCGTCCAGGTACTGTGGAAATTCAACAAACGCCACCCATTCAGCGATGAATTTCTCGATATACTCTCTCCGGATCTCGAATCAGGACGTGTAAGGATGTCCAAATGGATAAAAGTCGATCCGGCCGTCTTGTTAGAGACAGGAAATATCATTGCTTCAGTCCATCATGGAGGAGCAAATTGTTTCTACGAAGCTATTGGGACGGGAATTCCTCAAGTCGTATTACCCCTGTGGGTCGATCTTTATGATTATGCCGTAAAGGCTGAGTACCTGGGTGTGGGAGTTTGGGGTAGTAGGAAGGCGGCTCCTTATGTAAGTGTCCTTTTCCAAGTCATTTTACATTCAGCGATTTCTGATACCAGAGCAGTGGAAAGCGGACGAATTAAGCACTGCATTCTTAAAAGTCGTAGGGGATAGCAAAGAGGCAATTTCGATGCGCAAAAAAGCAAGGGAATTAAGCTTACCATACAAAGCAAAGCCAGGTCGCATAACCGCGGCTCACGAACTGGCAAAACTAGCACGATCCTCGGGCTCGTCACTGTGATTTAGAATCCGAGAGCGGATTCTATGACTAATCGTATCGTATACCAATGAGTTATGAATGGGAACTTTTTATGAATTTCACTTCCTTCATATCATTCGAAATAACCTTGGAAATAACAGTCTAGACACTTTCTAAATATGGTGGCGCAGATCACCTTGGTTCCTGTCGCTCCCGCCACCTCTGCTTCCCCGCTAAGACATTGCATCGTCATAGACGCTAGGCATATCCCTTGGCACATAGCTAAGTACATAATAAGGATGGAGAAGTATTGTTTTTCTTTCTGGTACTCTTATCCTAAAAAAACATTTATTTTCGAAATCCCTTCAATCAATCAATTCAATCCAATCCATTGATCAAACATCTACAATAACCAAAGAAAAATGTATCTCCCAAATACCCAAAGTATTTTGACCGCAGGTCTCGCTATGACCGGCACCCTCACCAAACGTATGTTTTCCTCTCCCTCTCCCTCTCCATTCCTTGCCACTCCCTCTCCAAACCCCTACTAACCCCCCTCAGCAAAAGAAGTAGCCTCCGGACACGTCCTCGACTACGCGGTTGAAAGCTGTCTCGACAGCGACAACAACCAACGCTGCACGGCGCCCTTCCTCGTGACGGGCGATTCCTGCTACAAAATTGAATGGAGCACCGACGGCGTGCTGTCTCACACTACTGTCGAAGTACGTGATGCGGGCAGCGACGAGATCGTGTATTATCGCGATACGAATGGCGAGTGGGAGAGTAAGAAGGGAGAATTGGTGTATTTGGATTTCAAACCAAAGGTGCCAGGACAGGGGAATAATACGGTGGATTGGAGTGTTACTACTTGTAAATAGGTTTGGGGTGGGATGTGTATGGGTGGGTAAACGGATTGGAGAGGGTATTGGCGTATCAAGTGGTATTGGTGTGTAATGGGGCGAATGTAATGTACGATAACTAATGTAAAGTTGATGTATTTTTTTTGCTGTGACATTCTATGACATGAAATCAAAGATTCCTTCATTTGTATTTTTTTGATCAAAATCTTGTGGTGATTCCAGTATGGATTCATAAATACAATCAAGTCCATTTCAAAGCACACGGCTCTTAGATGCTCTTGCCATAACATTGTCCAAACAATTAAGGCAAACTAAGGAAGAGTTCCAACAATTTTGGATAATTAGGCGTTCCAAGTCCGGTAACAGGATCCCATCTACAGCACATCATCAAATCAGCAAGCTCCTCGCCAATGAGCATCGAAAGAATAGTAAGAAGAAACATACCCAGACACAGCACTAAACCCAGCAGTACCACAGTTAGGATTACTTCCATTGGTGATATCATTCAACACATGAGGATTTGCATAAAGAACCGGATTAATAAATCCTACAGTGGACTTTCCGACAGCGAGTCGTTCCTCGTTGATCTAAGATTGGTAAGTGTATGTTAGTTGAGTGAAAGGATAGGAAAACAGAGATTCTCATACCAAGTTAATGACGGAAGAGAAAATGGGTGTGCCTAGAAGGTTTTAGTAAGAACTAAAAGAGGATATTTGGATCGAAGAAGACATACTTGCACTGGTACCCCCGTTCAAAGTGAAGTTTCCTCCGAGGAATGTAGCAATGTTGTCTCCATTTGCAGAAACGTCTGGAATACCTCTTCCAGCACGATTGTATACTCCGCCATTAGCCCCTATACTAGTATTGCTACCGGAGCTGGCTTCATAGTATGGATAAGAAGGGTTATGATTCTTGAAATATCTGTAACGGCCTGTCAGAAAAGAGCTTTATTATCGTGAAGGGGGAAACTACGATGCCACAGCCTCTTTTTGATACGAGGGAATTTCATAGACATTACTAAATCCTCCCCCAGAAGAATATGCATTTCTGTATGGTTGGCCTTTGAGATCGTTGGCGGCACTTTCGGGCTCGAAAACTGTATGACCAGGGTAAACTTTCGTGGCACCAACTGCTGTGACGTATGGGCAACTATCAAGTGTTAGTCTTGAACCATACGCTGATAATCGAATGGATTCCGAATGTGAATAACTGAAGGTACGTACTTGACAGGAAATTGAGGATTAAAAATTGTTGAATCCGAACCCAAACATCCACTGTCTGAAGCATCACCAGGAACTCCACCAACACCGAAGTCTCCTGAAGAATACAGGAATGTATGTCCCTGAAGTCCAAGTTTCATATACCTATCTTAATGTAAGTATCTCATCACTCAATGTGTGATAAGTTTATATACTCATTGCATTGTCTCTTCTGATAGTATTCAGGAAGATCTATTTCTGCTTCGCCATAGGATGTTGAGACTACATTTGTGGGTTTGTAGACACCACACATTAATTTTCCTTTGTATCCATCGGCGGCGGAATCCGGGTAGATAGGGTCAAGAACAGGGTCATTGCCAGTTTCCCCATAGGCTGAGTATGTGCAGTATGACTGAAAAGATCGTCAGTAACACATCTTGAGGTTGAGGAAGAAGGAAACATGCCCCATCAATAGCATCGAGAAATACATTGAATGCGCCCACAGTGGGGTTCTCGGTGGAGTAGTTAATATCATCCGTTTGATAGAGTACCAGTTTTTGAGGATATAATAAGGGATATGCCAATTCAAAATCTAAAAGACTTTCTCCACCTCCTTCCTCAACAGAGACTGGAGCCACGGCACCGTCCACAAAATTAGGGATTGGATGTGTACCCTTGGGAATGTATGGAGTGTAATTAGCAAAGAATAAATCCAAGTCTTCTTGATCATAAAAGTCTCCCTCTTCCCAAATACCCATTGCATTGTTGGGACTCGCTTTGCTGGCAAGAGGTATACGATAGAGGGCTCTGATACATTCTGGGGTGATAACCTCATTACAAGTCGCCAATGAACTCGAGTTGTGATGTGAATAGCCTCCGGATGGACTTTTTGGTCGTCGTAAGGGTTCGTGGTCTTTACCTTTACTTCCACCAAGAATGTTACGTTTTGATGCTGATTTCTTCTTCGTGGAGATTAATTTAACACCGGGAGTAATGTAATCCACGTGTGGTTGAACATGAGCTGGAAGGTGGTATCTATGGGATATTGTTTAGCTGGTTTCACGAGTAGATTGCAGTTCTGATTGCTGTTGCATACGAATCAATGAAAATGGTGGCTCACTCATCACATGCAGCAGCTATTTCATCAGTTGAAGAATGCTCATATGTATAGTACTGAGCATTGAGTAAATTCTCCAGTTCGCTCGTCGTCGCATCGAATGCATACCATCCCTTTGTATCGGAGTGAACAATTCGACTAGCGGCAATTCCTGAGTCGACTAGCCAATCTCGTACAGTATTGATTGTCTCCTCTGAAGGGGCAAACATTTCATGTACCTGCTCAGCCGTCCAATGCTTTCCATAATTTGAGGATTTTGGATGCGAACTGTCAAGTAATCAGCATAATGGAGGGATGAAAGATATAACCCTCATATCCATTCCATCGTGAACTACTTACACATCCATAAGAAAGTCATGTCCCTTCTCGAGGTTACCCTGGGATAAACCAATACGCACAGGAAGTAAAGTCGTGCTCGCAATCCGGTCACGTTTTATCCATTGTGTATGAGGTGTGTTTCGCTTCTCGTGGGAAACAAATGAACGAGTGGAAAGAATATCAGAGGTCGGAAGAACAGCAGCAATAATTCCAGGAACCGATAATGCAATTGAGGCAAAATGATGGAAATGCATTTTGATTGAACGAACGAACAAACGAGCTTGGCAAATATCAGGGGCAATACCTACAGACAAAAGCTTATGTACTTTTTGAAGCTCTTGTGAAGATACGAGGGGCATCGCCCAAACGATGGACAGGTACTACGAACCCTGCAACACTTGTTGTCAATCCGGAAGGTAACTTGACATAATCAATGCTAGTACCGTGCAGTACTTATGTATCATTCTGAATTAGGAAGTTATCTCAAGTTCCTGACCATCTTGCATCATTGAATCAAACTTTGATTAAGCAGATTCAGTTTCATTCGCTCCTACACGCTATCAATAGATAACGGTATTTTCGTGGTAATTACCAAAGGTTGTTCGGGATACAGTAGATCATCACCTGGATGAAAGAAACTCGTGTTACCGGCGCCATTCAACTGCAATTTCGAGGGTCAAAAGGTTGTGTTCATCTATCGGTCAATACCCATTTGAAAAGGCGGTGGATATTGACTATATACCAACCATGCTTGACTGCCGCTCAACGCGGTGCCTCGGATTTCTTTGAGGTTTTAATAGCAAGAACTTGGTACTTCATTTTTGAAAATGGGTTGAAAATATTTGTAACAACAAAAATAGTCAACGTTGATGAAGCTCAGCAATCAATGAATGTGAACGGCGATGGTGAGGTCTTCTCGTCATCGTTAAATCGAGTGAGTGATGATGATTAAGCCCCACCATGATGCAATCATGGTGATGTAAGGGTACGGTGTGCCTGAACTACTTTCAGTGCAGAATTACATCAATTCCCCCACCATAGCAAAATAGTACTGAGTGAGTAAACATTGAGAAAATAAAAATACAACTATCGCCACAACGACGAGATGAAGCAAAGATTTTCTTCTATCGACGTGAAGGTAAGTCAAATGAAGCTTTAATAGGCGTTCTTCGCTTTGTAATACCTTCTAACTTTCTCAGGTCATCGCCCATGAACTTTCCAATGCATTGGTTACTTTGCGCGTTTCCAATATCTACGACTTGTCGTCGAAGATTTTCTTGATAAAATTTGCGAAACCAGATAACAAACAGCAGATTCTCATAGATTCTGGCTTTCGATGTCATCTCACCGATTTCTCTCGAGCGACTGCAGCTGCTCCTAGTGTATTTGTGCAAAGATTAAGGAAATACCTAAAAACAAGACGAGTAACCCAGGTCTCTCAAATTGGAACAGATCGCATAATCGAATTTCAATTCAGTGATGGACAATACAAATTATATTTGGAGTTCTATGCGGGAGGCAATATCATTCTCACGGACAAGGACTTAAACATCCTAACCTTACTTCGAGTGGTCGACCCGGGAGAGGCTCAAGAAGAATTACGAGTTGGACTCAAATACTCTTTGGATAATCGCCAGAATTATGGAGGAATACCTGATTTGACGAAAGAACGACTCCAAGAAGCTTTACAAAAAGGGGTGGATAAGGGAGAGGATGATTTTGGAAAGAAGAAGAAGAAGCCTGGAGATGCATTACGAAAGGCATTAGCTGTGTCCATCACAGAATTTCCACCGATGCTGGTGGACCATGCAATGCGCGTCACAAATTTCAATTCCTCTCTAAAACCGGCCGAAGTTTTGCAGAGTGAAGATCTCTTGGATCATTTGATGAAATCGCTTCAAGAAGCTCAACGAGTTGTTCAAGAGATAACTAGTTCCGAGACTGCAAAGGGTTACATTGTAGCGAAGAAGAAGGACTCTGAGACGCCAGCTGATGAAAGTCAGACAGGTATTCGAAAAGGTTTACTTTACGATGATTTTCATCCCTTCGAACCAAAGCAATTCCAGGACGATCCTTCATTGGTCTTCTTAGAGTTCGAAGGGTTCAACAAAACTGTTGATGAGTTCTTCTCTTCAATTGAGGGACAAAAACTGGAATCAAAGCTTGAAGAGAGAGAAAAGCAAGCCCAAAAGAAAATTCAGGCGGCACGAAATGAACAGGCCAAACGTTTAGGCGGATTACAAGAGATTCAAGCACTGAATGAACGTAAAGCCGGTGCTTTACAGGCTAATGTTGAGCGGGTTCAAGAAGTAACAGACGCTGTTAATGGCTTGATCGCGCAAGGCATGGATTGGTTTGAAATTGGACGCCTAATCGAAAGGGAGCAAAAGTTCGACAATCCGGTAGCTTCGATGATTAAACTGCCCCTGAAATTGGAAGAGAATACAGTAACAATTTTGCTGAATGAGGAGGCGTTTGAAGAAGATGAAGATTCTACCTACGAGACTGACAGTGACGTCTCCGAAAGTGAAGATGAGGACAATACCGTCAAGACCAATAAGAAGAAGGAAAAGGTTGCAGATACCCGGATTCCTATTGATATTGATCTTGCACTGTCACCATGGGCCAATGCGCGCAATTACTTCGATCAAAAACGTTCAGCAGCATCAAAAGAGGACAAAACCCTGCAATCATCTTCTAAGGCGTTGAAGAGTACTGAAGCGAAAATAGCTCAGGATCTAAAAAAGGGCTTGAAGCAAGAGAAGGCGATCTTACGACCTGTACGAAAACAGATGTGGTTCGAGAAATTCATTTGGTTTATATCTAGTGATGGATATCTAGTACTTGCAGGAAAGGATGCACAACAAAGTGAGATTCTTTATAAGAGATATCTCAAGAAAGGGGATATATACTTGCATGCAGATATACGAGGTGCAGCATCCGTCATTGTTAGAAACAATCCAAAAACACCCGATGCCCCAATTCCTCCACAAACTCTAAGCCAAGCTGGAACATTGGTAGTTGTTACATCAAGTGCTTGGGATTCTAAAGCTGGTATGTCCGCTTGGTGGGTGACTGCAGATCAAGTATCAAAATCTGCCCCTACTGGCGAATTTCTTCCCGCTGGTAGCTTCAATACTCATGGGAAGAAGAACTTCTTACCTCCTGCTCAGCTACTTCTTGGTTTTGGAGTTCTTTTCCAAATCAGTGATGAGAGTAAAGCTAGACATGTCAAACATAGACTTCAAGATGATTCGCCTTCTGGTGGCACAACCACAGATGCTCTTCCGGCAGGTGATTCACTTCTTGACGATGAAGGTTCCGGGGGCGAATTGAATCAATCTGATGCAGATGAGCCAAGTGCCACCAAAGAAATTGAGGCTGATCATCAAGATGTGGATGATTCGGACGATGAAGATGCCGATTCGAAGCCTAACCCTCTACAGGGTGAAACAGAACAACCTGATGAAGTCGCCACACAGAAGAAGCTTGAGAATCTTCAAATCGACGATAAGAAGCCCCAGCCATCGGAATCTGAAGCACAAGTGGAGGAATCAGACGAAGATTCGGTCGAGGAGTCACAATCACAGCCTATCACCACTGGTAAAAAAGCAACACCCGTTCAAAACCCACCCAAAAAGGGTCCTGCACCAGCTAAGCGAGGCAAAAAAGGAAAGGCCAAGAAAATTGCACAGAAATACAAAGACCAAGATGAAGAAGATCGTATCGCTGCTCGAGAAATCATTGGAGCTGCAGCTGGTCAAGAGAAAGCCGAAGCAGAAGCGAAAGCTAAAGCAGCTCGAGAAGCCGAATTGGCATTCCAAAAAGAACGTCGACGAGCTCAACATCAACGTACGCAAAAGGAAACAGCCGAGCATGAAGAGATGCGCAAATTGATGCTTGAAGATGGTATCGATACTCATGAAGATAATGAGATTGAAACCATGACATCACTCGATTCCTTCGTCGGTCTTCCGTTACCGGGCGATGAAATCCTCGAGGCGATACCGGTTTGTGCACCATGGGCTGCGATGGGAAAATATAAATACAAAGCCAAGATCCAACCAGGCGCGCAGAAGAAAGGTAAAGCAGTGAGAGAAATTCTCGGAAAGTGGATGGCGGCGAGTACGGCGAAGGGTGTCCTCGATGAATCGAGTATGGATGTGGAAAGAATCTGGCCGAGAGAAATGGATTTGATCAAGGGGTGGAAACCGGAGGAAACAACAAATGTTGTGCCGGTGGGGAAGGTGAGGGTTATGATGGGAGGGGGCTCCGCGGCCGCAAAGGCAAAGGGGGATAAGGGGAAGAGTAGTGGGGGGAGAGGCGGAAGGGGGATTAAGAAGAAGTAGGCTGGTGTAGATACCTGTGTAAGGAAGTGTATTGTGAACAGTCTCTTTTGGAGCGGTGCTAGATTTGATAAGTGTAGTAAATAGTGATAGATCGTACATAGCAAAGATACCTACCTACCTACCTACCTGTAGAAAGTATCACAAAAACCTCTTACTCATTCACTTATTCACTCCTTCACTTATTCACTTAAAGTCCAAGAATAGAATATCTCATAATAGCATAATATCTCATTTCATATTATATCAAATCATATCAAATCAAGCTATCCCAAGCCATCCCAAGCTACATAGGTATCTATCTATCTATTTATTTATCCACCCACCCACCCATCTATCTTATCATCATCATCATCATAATTGCCATCTCCCAAAAAAAAGGCCACGCTCCGTTAATGCACACAAACTCGCACGCTCACTTTCCACTTCTCCCATCCTGATATCGAGCCTCCTCAGATCCAGCCAGCCAGTAGCAAATCCATACATATCCATAGCCATTAAAAAGTATTCCCATCTATATACTACAAGATTCCACTTTCTTACACACATCTCTCTGCTATCATTGTTTGATTGATGACTCCACCACCCTCCATTGCTATATTTTCCTTTCCGTTCCGATTCATTCCCATTGCCGTAACCCTCTGAAACCAAAATTCTATTCGTCGAGATCAAGAATTCAAATGTCGTGATAACATACCGCTCCGTGAACGCTGCCAACAATGATCGTTAATAGTGATTTGCTTCAATCACTTTATCATTCCATCATCTCCCAACCTCGACCCTATCTCTCTCGCCAAGTCCACCACTCATCTGTGCATCATCACCAAAAACAGGTCTCTTGTTAGAACCAGGAGGAGCCTGTTCCAACATTCTTGGTCTATCATCTTCATAAGAATCAGAAGAATCAGACTCGCTGTATTGATGACGACTTCTGCCATGCTCTTCTCGTTTACGATTACGTCTTTCGCGGGCTTCACGTTTTGCGCGGCGACGTTCACGAGCTGCCTCTTCTTCTCTTTCTTCTCTAGCGGCTATAAAAGAGGTTAGCTATTTTATCATGATGTCCATTGACTGAGTGAAACATACCTCGAATTTGTTGAGTGGCAGTGGCGTAAGCTTGAATTTCTTCGCGACTCAACACTCGAAGCACAATTACGAAATCATCCCGAGCTTCGAATCGCTCTTTTCCAACCTCTAGAGCGGCAGGGTTTACCAATTTTCTAGCAATCTTGGTCCAACGTGCATCAGGAGGGACACCATCCTTCTTGGCATCTTTCAAAGGAGCGACACCTTCACGAATTGGAGAAGGATCCTCAGGAAATTTCTCACGTGGTTGACGTAAAATACCCTTAATGGCAGGCTTCTCAGGCTTCTCTTCAACCTTCTCTCTTGGTGGTGAAACAACTCGTGCTTGTTTGGTTTCACCTGTGGTGGGTGCTGATGATTCACGGCGACCTCGTTCTTCACGGTTGAGTTCGGCTCTTAATTCAGCGACCTCACTCATATCTTTGGTGATAGACTTTCTACCAAGTGGCTTGTTGGATGGGGCTAGTGTAGGCTCCTGGGCAGATTGTTTAGGAGCTAGTACTGGCACAGGCTCTTTATCAGCAGGTGCATCTTGATCGGCCAATGCAGCTTTCAATGCTTTCAAATCCATAGTATCTCTGGGATTGAATGGTGCAGCCGCAGCCCCAGAGATACGTCTAGGTCTGCGATGACGGTTTGTTGCTTCATCTGACGTGTCTGAATTATTATCATTGGTAGCGCCAGTTGTTGCCGCGTCGCTACGAGGACGATCATCTGGTGAGGATAATCTTTCCTTGGGATTTCGACCACTCAAGTCAACAAAGTCGTTATCTGGAGAACGTCTGTCTCTGTCATCTCTAGCAACATCACGTGAAGCGGGTGGCATTTCTTCTCGGCTTCTTTCCTTCCTCGAATCAGGTACATCATCATCTTCGCGGCGGCGAGGAGGCAATGGTGGTGTGACTTCACCTCTGTCTCTGTGATGTCTCTCCTTCGCTTCTCTACCGACAGATTCAGTAGAATCTCTCTCGTTGCGGTGACTTCTTTCCCTTCTCTCCTTGCGATCTGGTCGATCAGACTCAGAGGAATCCCGGGAGTCAGTGTGACGACGTTCATTTGAAACATCCACCATCTCTTTGTCGCCGCGCTCACGTCTCCTGCGTGAATCATCCCCATAATCCTTACGTCTTCTTTCATCATCTCTATCGTCACGATCATCAGGCTTCATGGTATTTGCCATAGCTCCAAGACCAAGAGCAGCAGAGGCTATGCTAAGTCCCGTTGCAAGCTTCTCGTGTGTGCTAGACTTTTTCTCGCGTCGATCGTCCTCACGTTCATTTCTTGGAGATCTGTCGTGTCTTTCGGATCGTTCATGTTTCTCGACTCTCTCCGGTCTTTCTGCTCTACTAGCCGGCCTTTCTGATCTCTCAGCACGACTAGCAGGCCTTTCTTGTCTTTCTGTTCTCTCAGGGCGCAATCCAAAGCCACGCTGTTCAACAGAATCATCATATCTCTCCTGTCGGTGATGTGGTTTTCGTTCTCGCATTTCTTCCTCCCTCGGACTATAGTATTCATCTCTAGGGACATGCCTGGTGCTGTCTCTATCTTGGTACATAGAAACAGGTCGCCTGGTCGAAGTTCGTCTTTGAGGTCCATCACTCTCATAGCCTGCGGGTGGATCCATACGAACTGGGCGTTGGATTGGTTCAATAGGTGTGACATGGGGAACGGGAATTCTGGCGGAAGCTGGTTGAGGGTCCCATGTTTGAATTCTGTCAAAACCACGTGTAGATGGGGGCGGGCCGCGCTCTCGGGTATCATAAGATCTTGGAGATTGAACAGCTTCCCCAAATCCAAGAGGGTTGGTCAGGCTAGCACTAGCAGGTCGAGTTCTACTGTCGATACTATCCCTACGCGTATGCCTTGGATGACTGTTGTTCAAATCATACGTAACCAAATCTTTGGGATTTGTGTAGCCATAACCATCCTCTCCGTAATCGTCTGCAACTGTATCTGGATGACGTACTAGATTTGCTGTGTATACTGGCCCACGAGGTTTGGTGGTAGTAGTTGTGGTTGTAGCGTATGATGGAGTAGATGCTGGAGTCGAGTACGATGCAGTAATTGGAGTAGGTATGTATGATGAGGCAGTTGATGGGGTAGGAATATAACCAGGGATATCTCTGCTACTAGGAATGCCAATTCGGAGATGGCTCGGCTCTCTGTGCCCGTGGGAGTCTCTAGAGGATCTGTTCATGTCGGCATTATCCAAAGAAGCATATCTGGTGTGGTGATGAGAACTTCGAGATGAAGCTGGAATTGTGTAATATTCTTCCTGGCTAGCGCGATATGGATTCTTCATGGATGGACTGGCAGGTCTCACAACCGAAGTATGAACCACCGTTGGATGCTTTGGAATTGATGTGAATACGGTATGTGCATTGGGTCGAGAATCAACCGTGTTGCTGCGAGTGCGGCTGGCAGTGCGATGGTCAGGTTTGACTTTGTATGTTGTTGTGGTAATGGGAACGTGAGCAGAATTGAAGCTTGAGCTGCTACTTCGAGGGTTCTCGTGTCGAGATAAGGGTACGACATGATGATGGGTGTGTGATCCCGAAGAATGATTGTTGTATGACAAATCGACTGGGAGACTTGCTCGCGCAGGATTGTAGGTTGGTGACCTTGGTCGTGTGTGTCTGCTGTATCGGTCACTCATGTTGAGTATGCTTGTATACAAAATATTATGATGGGATGTAGTTGTTCAACTCTTGAATTATTTGAAGAGTCGATGTCTGTAGCGAATGATGAGAGGAGAAAGTGGAGGAATGATGACTCGAACTTCGCCGCAATGTAATTTTGGACTCGATCTCGATATTGTCAGCTTTTTTTGTGGAAAGTTTTAGTCTAGCGAAAATCCGAGAGATCGTTAGCAATCAAGTGACTATCAATGCCGTCGCCTGCCCAATTTTTCACGATATAAGAGTTGTACACATGGCGGGATTGGTGGGTAACAAACAATAAAATCTTCAATATAAAATGTCCGAACTCGAGTCTGCAGATACTTGGTACTGTAAGGCTACCAATAATCCAAGCGTAGACGGATAGTTGCAGGAATGGATCTCTGACTGCAGTAAAATTCTGAAATTATGATGTTTTGCAGATAAGTGATTATGATTGCGATATTTGAGTGGGAGAATGAGAATGAGGTAACAGAGGCAATCACCCAAGTAGGAAGATATGGGGTAATCGGTCGTGAGATTTAAGTCGAGGGGGGGGTGAGAATGTGGTGTGGCGCTTTCGTTGCCTGCCTGGTGTTTTGCGTTATTCTGAAAAAGATTAACCCCGCTGGGTGGGTGGACTGTAAGACATATGCGATTGGATTGGATTGGAAGATTGGGTCGACGGCGTACACACAAAAATTAATTGTTGCTACGAATGCAGGATTGCAGGAGCAGAAGAAGACGAGAAGATAATAAGCAAGAAAAGAAGGACGACGAGGTGGTGGTGCTGGAAGAGAAAGAAAGAAAGAAAGAGAGTAAAGGGAGAGGAGAGTGTGACTGGATTTGGATTTGGATTTCCGATTTCCAAGGTTCTGTTCTAAGTTTGCCTTCTTTTTTCCTTTATTGCTTTGCTTAGTATTTCTCCTATGTACGTACTCGAGAGGCAAGAGATATACATGCGATACAATAAGTGAGGAGAAAAAGAAGGCTTTAGAGGAGGTGGAAGAATGTATACATGTATGTATATTTTTATTCTTCTTCTTTATCGTCGTCGCTGTTGTCGTCGTCGTCGTCGTAGTTTAGTCGGATCGGATGGGATTTGATATATTTGAAGAAGAGAAATAGAAAAAAGTAGACGGGGAAATAATGCGACTAGAGTTTTAGTGTTCCCAGATGTGGATTCCTTTGCTATCTCTTCTTTTGTGATATTGGATGGATGGACTAGGTAGTGAGCCCAAGTGAGATCGTATGGGTGTGTGAGTGTATGGATGTGTGGGTGTATGGATGTGTGAGTGTATGTATTCGATGTCTGGAGGGGGTTATGGACTTGTATGGTATGGAGGAAGTGCGCGTGTGTGTACCTAATACCAGAGTCTGTATGGATTCTTTCAATATGTATGATGGATGGGTCCTCTCTTCTGCTTTTTCCCTCATTTGAATGGAGACTACATTGTACAATGTATACGGATGGACAGAGTGTACGCACAGATGCATAGATGAGATGACAAGAGATTGAGATTCGCTGAACCCTTGACCATGACGTTTGGAACAGACTACGGAGGACACAGATAGAAAAAAAAGAACCGAAAATGGACCCATGTCTTTTATATCCATGCCATGTTCAATTTGGATGGTTACCGTTTATGGTTTATATTTTATGGTTGAGTGAAGTGAAATGAGGTGTGAAGTGTGAAGTGTGAAGTCTGAAATATGATGTGTGATATGATGTGTGATGTGAAGTCAAGTCAAGTACAAGTCAAGTCAAGTGTACTGAAGTTATTGAAGAGTAATATGGTAAAGGGAACATTCAACTGATTTCATGAGTACCAGAATAGTGAATGATTTATTGTACCTAGGTAGGTAGTGATATTAATTAGTTTCCTATTAGAAAAGACATACTCGAGTATATTGGTCGTTGAGAAGCGACTGTCTTCAATGGGTGACTGCTCCATCATATAGACAATAGAATATATTATCTAGTACCCTTATCATATAAACAATACAATATAGCATCTAGTACCTCCGTCATATAAACAACGGAATACATTACCTAGTAAGCATCTCCTCTCTACCTAGTACCCAGCATGATCTCAACGTCCTTCCTGTCTCCCGCGTCCACTTCATTCAAACTGCACTTCACTCAAATTGGAAAATATACCTCATGTCATATAGCCATATTGGGAACTCCTTCTCGCTTCAGACATCTTCTACCTATTCTACTACTCTCCTTCTCCTCCTTCCTCTCCCTCTTGCATCACTTGTCTCTCTTTCAGTGCCAAGTAAAGTTTCTCATTTGATGCATTACCAAAATAACAGCTTCCTGTCTCTCTTCCCCCAACTGGTGATCAGGCACAAACACGCACCTAGCCATGAAGATGTCAAATAGATAGATTGGGAAAGCTATCACCCATAGCTATAGCTCCTGACTTCCCGCCATCAATTGTCATTTCCGTCCCGTCGCGCTCCAAGGGGTGTGTAATTTCATGCAGGGCTCAGTTCATTGGGCTGCAGAAGATTCTCCACTCTTCTGATGCCTTACGAGCCTTTGTTACGGCAGTGTACGCACAGCACAGCAAGCACAGTCTCAGGTAGGAATCAATCCAGAATCCAGATACACTCGGAGTTTTGAATCAAACGAGACGCCAGTACATACATATCCTTTCACCGAGTACCTTTCCACACTGCAGGAACTATTCTTTGCATCTTTTTCCTTTTGCCTTTTTGCCAGAGCTTGTGGATCATCCAATGACATTTTCTTCTTTCATGGCGTGGGGGAACTAGGACACTCCCGTCGTTTGATCTTGAGACCACCTGGGTATTGGTGGACCAATTACCAATGTCGCCTATAGCCGTCTCAAAGTGTGGTTGAGGCATGTTTTTCACGTTTTTGACCCTGATTTTATTTAATTTATTTTTTCTTCCTTTCTTCCTTTCTTCCTTTCTTCCTTTCTTCCTTTCTTCCTTTCTTCCTTTCTTCCTGACCTGGCTCGTTTGTTACAAATTTCTAAAACATCAAATTTGTTCAATCCTCCCAGAACTGTACACATGACATCATTTCCTTTAATTTTCTTCCTCCTACGAGAATCAAATCAAAGCAAATCAAATCAAATCAAGAAAAAAACCCAACGTGGCTGATATATCCCCCATACCCTATATCAAAATATGTACGAGCTTTTCCAATCCCAAGGCGATCCCTAGAACTTCATATACGGAACGATCCATAATCCATTCTATCCACTCTCAACGTTCGACGTTCTTCACCACAGAAACCGGCGCCAAAACTAGTAAACACGCCAGCCAATGCTTGTATGCCGAGTATAAGAGCTCTGATGTATAATCCTCGGTCCATCTTTATTCATTCTCCTGCTCGCCCATTCTGAGCCAGTTGCTTTCTAGTGCCCCAGATCTCCACTGCAGTGCAAGGATTATCCAAAGATCATCGTTCTAACTCTCGGAAGTGGCCTTTCAACTGCAAGATTGCTAACGCCCAATTCTCATGTAATCATCTTTGGGCAATGAGGGATCATCCATCTGGAGAGGCCATCAAGATACCCGAGTTACGAAACAGGACTCGATCATCGGATGGAAATGGAAATCACCCAGATCGTTTGGTGATATCATGTGATCATTCGATACATCTCTCTCGCTGTGCGATGGTGCCACGAGTGACACGGAGAACACTCTAGGTAATTAATGGCCGAAACTTCCTATATTAGCTAGCCTTCTATTATGTTTCATCTCCCTCTCATCGAGCTTTCTTTAGCTTGAGCCGCTTCGACTTCTCTTTCGCATCGATATCGTGAACATTCCATTCTTTCTTCATTTACAAAACTTTACTTTCTTTACCTCCCCAAGTGGATCCCGGGCCGTTACAGCCCGATTTTGTCCAAGAATTGATTTGCTGAGCACAATCATCCAAGGCTCAGACTCAGCAGATATATGCATTTCACTAGTCCAGACACGAGACACGATGATCTAAGTTGCGTAGTCCTCTATACCTAGATGGTTTCCGCTATGGGAACACGAAAGGGGCCTCTGAATGACATCGTTCTGAATTCAATCTTGATCTTTTCGCACCTAGGTAGGTAGGTATGTCATTTATACTTTTCATTATGATGTACATACATACCCATTGTACTCGTACCGTACAAGATCTATGCAATCGAAAATATCCCATGAAATCTGGATCTTTGAAAAACACGGCTCGGTCATGGATGAATGGGGTGGATAGATGGATTTCTGGAAATCTAATCTTTGCAACCGGATCACGATAGATAGATAGATCCACCATCAGAAAATTCAATGTCTACGGGAGTACTTCGATCCATCTATTACTAATATCGCTCATCTCCGTTCAGCCTCACGATTGGAAGTGCATCGGGCCTCACAATTTCATATCGTGCTGGATTCATCAATTACTTACTCTTCATGAACTTTTCTCCTCGTCTTTTTCTTCGTTGGGGTTTTTAATCTTCCATCCGAAAATCTACGCCACAGTTGTCATACTTCTTTCGGTAAGGTTGATATGAACTTGGTAAGGTTATATGGTTGAGGAGATTTCTTTCTTTCGTGATCTCAATACAACAAACATACCACTACACCACACCATACCACACCATACCAAATCTGCAAGATTGAAATGAACGCGAGCTTCTTCTCCTTTCACAGCTTGGCTATATGTACGTACCTAGGTAGTAATCATCATTGATACTCGACATGCTGTTACCACTTACCAGGTCGTCTCTTGGGCGTTTGTTCTTCATTTATCATATTGCCATGCTTCAAACCGATACACATTTCCGTAGATACGCAGCCGTGGTTTGCTTCTTTTTTTTTCTTGCTTTGTTACTTCTATTACATTGGGTGATGATGATTGATCGATCGATTCTTTCTTTTACGTGTTGTTGTATTGTATCTGGAGGTTATGCGGTTTTTGTAGGATGGGATAGGATGGGATATGATAATGTGTTGTTGCGTCTTGAAACTGTCTATCTATCTATCTATAGATCTGTCAGGAGGGCTGTGAGAATTGAGTTTGGGTTTGGGGTTGGATTTGGGGTTGGGGTTGGGGTTGGGGTTGTAGATATATTTATTAGTAGTACAAATATTCGCAAATGCGGATTTGGGTTATTTTGTTTATTATGTTTTGTTTTGTTTTACTGTCTTTTGTTACATTATATCATAGTTTGTTAGGAGCGAATTGTGAGTGAGAGTGAGATTGAGAGGGAGAAAGATTGAGAAAGATTGAGATTGGGGTGGGAAGCATATATATATATCAAGTATCTTGTAGTTATAAGGTAAATGACAACATAAGGCAGGAGAAACATTCGGGAAGGGGGGGAAACTAGTAAACCTCCTTTTTATATATATATATCATTGTCACTTTATACAATGTCATTCTTCACTTCAAACCCAACCGGAATACCAGGACTGTGAAGAACTGATCCACACATCAGAGAAGGAAAGGATCCTCGAGTTTTCTGTATCACATGAGCAGATGAGACGAGATGAGATGAGATGAGAACCCCCTTTTTAAACTATCAAGATATAAAATAGTATACTCACTCATAAATCATATTATCAAATCGAATCCATTCAGCTGGGTAGGGTTTAACACTGGGGGCACGGGGGGCGGGAGAAAATATCCCCTCTATGCTTTGTGTATAGATAGATAGATAGATTTCGAGATAAGTAAAGTGAAAGAAGGATTTATGTAGAATATTGTTTTTCAGATTTATGCCCGGGTGATGTGAGGAGGAAAGGGAATGTGGGTTTATGAGATGTGAGATATGAGATGGAATATCAAATTTGTAATGGGAAGGAAAGGGGGAGGACTTGGATTTTTGGATGGGTTGTTTGTTTGTATTTTTGTACTTGTTAAAGATTATGGATGGGTGGGGGGGGGTTGTGTGGAGTTAGGTGGGTAGGTAGGTAAAGAGAAGGGTTAAAGAAGAGTATAGTGTTTTAAGTATGATTTTCTGCAGGATACGATGGGAAGCATAGACTAGGAATTGAGGGCATTCAGGGGTTAAATTCAATCAAGTATGTAAGATCTTACCAAGTAGCTATGAAAGACAGAGCTCTACTAACCAGGGCTAGCATCCCCTGCTGTGGCACCACGTGAACCAGACTTTTAACATATAGTTATATTGTACGATAAGGTGCTCTCATGTTCCCCAGCAATGATTTATTTATTTATTCTCATGCCCTGTAGATTCTAGAGTGGAGGGGAGTAGATTCGCTAGGGAAAGGAGGATTATAATCACAATGATTAGATTGAATAGGAGATCATATTCTATAGGGAAAAAATGGATTCTAGTTATATGGCATTAGAATCTGTAGGAAGAGAATGGATTCTAATCACTTGGATTAGATCCTATACTCGAGTAGAAGGAGAGTAGATTCCACAATAAACACACCACAATCAAACAAGAAATAACATCAACAAACGTTAAATCCATCCAGCCATCCATCCATCTGTAGAACAAAAGCATATAGATAATCCGAATCAAAAATTAGAGAGCGGAGCTGTAGATATAAGGTATACACGCGACATATACGGATCTATTACTAATATAATGAGAAATAGTTACGCGCGGGAATGGGGATGGTTTGAATAGTGAGGAGCGGGGTTTGGTTTTGTTTGCATTCGAAGCGAGGGAGGGGTAGTTGCGGAGGGATTAGGCGGGGAATTTCATGTGTGGAGCTTGAGTTTGGAAATAGAGTATTGTTTTATGTTGAAGCAGAAGGGTGGCAGGGAGGGGTATATGAGGGAAGAGAAGATCCCTGTCATTGTGGAAAAGTTGGAAAGTGAGTGAATGGGCGCGTATGATTTGATGTCTGGAGAGAGTAGAGTCCGGGTAGGGTTGTAATATATAGGACTTTTTGAGAAATGATGAGATGGTGTTGTGGGTTCAGATGCGGTGTTCTGTGCTTGTTCTCGCATTGCATATAGCAGATGACATATAGCAGATGGCGAAATCAAGCATTCTCACCGTACGGACGAAGCGGAGTAGCTGTGTATGTGGATAGGTAGGCAATCGTGAATGAATCTACTCTTTCTTATATGTCTCTTGTCTCTTGTCTCTTGTCTCTTGTTCGTCATTCCTATACTGGAGAGATAAAGTTAAATGCACGGGTTTAATATCATGCAATGCGACGAATGAATCAATATTTAATGCATGTCTTCGAACTTTCCTTTCGGCTAAACATCTGTAAAGGGGGGAGAAAAATATGGAAAGAAGTTGATGTGTTTATTCTTTTGTCAGGTACATAGCAGGAGGTAGAAAGACATCCTCCTTTCCAAGGAGGCAGAAGTAATAGTTGCGGGAACTGGGTAATTATAATGTGGTTACGTTACCTTCAAATTACCTTGAGATTGCCTACATGAATACCTATAATACTATACCTCCTTCTCGATACTGAAAATCTGGAATCCGAAAGAGAAGTTACTATATCCATCAAAAAGTTGAGAGAAACTTCTTCGAAATGGTCTCTAGAATATGGGTGGATATTTGTTCATCTTCTTCAATAAACATGATGTTGTAAAGTCACCTGGATAGAACCAGTCTGGAAAGTTTCTTAGAATTGGATTTTCTATCTATCGCTTGGGAATTTCACTTCGTTTTGTCTCATGTTCATGTTCATCGTCACCCATCTGATGCTCGTGAGTTGTATTATGATAGAGAAGTAATATGGTTATGTGTAGGTGTTCAATAATTCCGTACTCTTGCTCACTCAATTTGTCTACTTCCCCATCTCATCACCTCCTCCCCATTTCACCCACCTATTCATCCACCCACCCATCCCGCCATCCTCCACTCATACATCAAACTCCCACATCATACACAAACCCACAAACCCTCCGAAGCCACAAGACCAGTAAAAGTAAGTTTCCACCTATCACTACCACAAACATCTCAATACCACAATATACGAATCACGCAAACCCCAACCAATATATCAATATCCAATATATGTATGTATCCATTTACATATATACTCTACAGAGCCGTTTTCTAAATTATTTCTCGTGTATCGATAAATAATACATAAGATGAATTACTTATGCGTTTCTTATATTTACAAGAACAACATAAAGTATTTTATACAGCGAGTACCAAGTACCAAGTAATACCATGCCACGGATTTGTGTGATTTGTTTCGAGGTTCGTAAGCTAGTGTTGATGTTTTTATGAGTATCTGATAGATACTGATATGTGATATGTGATACCATGATCTCTTAATAGACAACCTTAATACAAAAACGACGCCAAAGCGGACAAGCAAGCAAGCACAAACACAGACCAAGAACAGAAGACCCGATTCCGATAGAAGGATCCCAAAGAGCCATAACGACAAAGAAAGAGCAACAATCCATATCCTATTAACCCCTCATTACTCAAAACCTTAAATATCAATAGAAAATGAAAAGATAGTAGAAATGATAGAAGTAAGATCTTACAATTTGTATACTGTAATGATATGTAGTTTGAGAGATGTAGTTTAGAGAGAGAGAGAGAGAGAGAGAGAGAGAAAGAGAGAGAGAGAAGTGATCGAATTATAATTTACATGTTAGCTCCTTCAGCCCCTTCTTTATATAGAATAGTTTGGGAGGTTTATACATAGATAACAAATAGCCAAAGAAAAAGAAACACGAAAATATAAATAAAAATATGATAAAGAAATTATACATACACTTATTTAGTAATCTTGATTTGCTTGGATTGATGAGAATGAGGAGATGGAATGTTTGAAGCAGTGATTATATTTTGTATTTTGTTAGTATATGGATCTTGATGTTTTATCTCAGGTCGAATATTGGAATGTGTGGTGGTGTTTTGTGTTTTGAATTAATTATGGGTAGGTAGCTCGGGTAGGTAGGCTCTTTAATCCCCGCTGCAGATACATCAAGATACTTTGAGATACTTCACCTCCGTACCTATATGCACCCATCCAAGCTCACCAATAGCACACACACACACACACACACACACGCCATTCCATCCCCCCATCATCTCCCCTCCCCTAAATCCCCCCCTCATCACCCCCAACACAAAGCCACCCCCACCTCGCACAAACCCCATACCTCTCCGCCACCTCCGACATCCCCGCATCCTCAAAAACGCTCGCCGCTTTCTCATACAAATCAATATGCCACCACGAATGCAAGATACTATCCGGCGCCGGCGTAGCCGGGGTCCCTGGACCGGGTAATCCCATGGGATGAAAGAGGTGGAGCGTGAGGGAAAGGAGACGCAGAGAAAAGAGTTGGAGCAGGGGAGAGGAGGGTGTGGTGTGGGAAAGCCTGTGGGAGGGGTTAGTTTGTGTTTTGAGATGAGATGGGGAGGGGAGGGGAGGGGAGGGAAAAAAACGCACCAAAATCCATTTTTCAACACCTCTGCAAATTCCATCCCCTCGCATTCAAGAATCGGGAACGTGAGAAAAAATGCACAGAGTGATAACGTATCACCAATCAACTCATACGTATCAACAAGCAGAGGAAAATTTTCTCCATTATTTCTCTGCGATGAATGTAAAGAGAATTCCGCGTATCGAGATGTGAGGAGTGCGAGTTCGGTGTTGAAGCTCGATTGGAGTGTGTGGTTTGGGAGGGATGATTGTGTAAGTGTGGTGCGGAGACGAGTGTTGATTGTTTCTTTTTCTGTTTCTGGATCCTCAAAAGATAGAGGTGTCAGTTTAATGGGTTTGGCTTGAGGTGAAGGTACTGGAAGGGCTTCAGTCAATCGTAAGAAAGAATTCTTTTCTGGTTTTGTATCCGAGTTAGAATATAACTGCCGTTTCTGTGTTTTCGCATCATCTTCATCCTCATCATCACTATCATAAGGGAATTTGGTATATAAATCGTGGCGTCTGTGAAGAAAAGATTGCCATTCTATTTCATTGGTTTCAGGATTTTCTCTATTTTTGAAGATTAGAATTCGAAGAAAAATGAGATGTGGAAAACGGGAAATGGAGACACTAACGGTCTTTCAAAAGCGAGAAGGGCGCGAATCTCTTCGCATCTTTGCATCATTGTTGAATTTGCTGGGATTGTCATATTGGAGCTTTTAATAATTGATCTCCTATTCGTTGGTTCGTCTAGAGAATATGTAGATCAAATCAAGAAACACGAATAGGTAACTTCAACTTAGAGATTTGGGGAAAAGTCACTTTTCTAATTGAAACGAAGGGATAGAAATAAGAGCAAAACTGCAACAGATTAATGGCATACATGAAATTAAATAATATTTCCCCAACATCAAACCGATCTGGCCGCATAATATATAACCCATCAATCCTGCGCCTCGAATCCTCTGGGTCGATTGTTGGAATAGGCCCTGAGCTAGGCCCTGAGCTTGGCCTTCGATATGCTCCTGAGTTGACCGACGAGATCCCTTGACTCCGCAACTTTAAACTCGGCAAATAAGTAGAGGTTGAGTAGAGTTTGACAGTAAATAGTGATTCGGTAGGTTGGACAATGTCGGGTCTTAATATCAACCCAAGGTAACGAATTTTCGTCTTCAATGTGAAAGCTGTAGGATTTTTTGATTTGATCGTCTGAAAGCGTTCCAACCACAACCACAATATTATGTATTTCTCGCAGTAGCCTTAGATACGGGGACTGAAACTATGGCCGATATTTGCGGCAGCTTAAATGGTGTCGATGAAGGTCTAACCTCTTTGCTATATATCTCTGATATTGTGATCTATGAGGCGGAAGGTGAGCAGCAACTGTTCGCCTTATCATGGTTCGTTTCCAGATTTGAATGATCTGTTCCTCCGTCTTCGCAATCATTTTCACCCATAATTTAGCACCTTGTGTTACTCATTCATCCATCTCAATGTCAGAACCTTCAAATATGCCCCCGTCGGTAGACCCATCAGAAAATACTTTCCGGTCGTATTCAAATATTCTAGCTCCTCCAGTTACAAGAAGCTCTTCAATCAAGTGATCATTCTCGCTACTATCCTCACTGGAATCAGATCGAAGAGCAGGATCTTTCATACCTGCCACTAGAATTTTCAAAGGGCTATAAGAAGCGAGTGATGTGATATCAAATGGATCCATCACACAATAGTTCAAATCTGCCCCCCCTGCTATCAATAAAGATATGCCAGCTCTCCATCTCCTGTACACCGCTTTTTGAAGAAGACTTTCTGTTGCATTTTTTTGTTCGAAAGTCGACCACAATTGAATGACAGTTTGAAGCGATTTCGGGGCGTCATAAGGGAGATCGGGATGCATGCCAAGGCCGAGAAGAAGTTTTAGGACAACTTCGTCCTTTCTCATAAAGACTTCCTCCATGACTTCGTGGAATATCTCTGCTTTGGTGAGACCCAAAGTCGCCGCTCGATCTACAAGGAAGCGAAGTTTTGCTTCCTTATCGCATTGTGCAAAGGCCACCAGGGCTGAAAGGGTACGGTACTGAGGGCAGTTGAACGCTTGTATATAGTTTAAAAGAAGTTGGAATCTTTCCATTGAATCCATGCTTATAGCAAGTGCAAGAAGGACCGATTCTGTTTCTGGGATAAGATCTCTGAGTGAGGTAGAACCTACGAGCTTCAAGGGCCATTCCGACGCTATTTCGAGTTCACTCCTGACAACCAATGCCAACGGTTCCTGGACAGATTGTAATAGCGCATAAGAAAATGGTTTCCACCAGAAACGAAAATCGTCTTCTAGTATCAAATCCCATTTATTTGTGATTAGCTGTATGAAATCGAGAATCTTGGAGGTGCCCCCGAAGAATCTTTCCCCAATGAATCTAATGATTTCTATGAGAACCAAGAATATGAAGCTACTACCTTTTTTTTTCGCAAGCTCCAAGACATTTTGAACCCTATCATACGTTTTTGATATATTTCTAGGGACATTGATGTAGTGGCGTACATGTGCTACGTTCTCGAAATGGATAGCAACGGAAAGAGGGGGACATTTTCCAAGTTCCAGAGGCACATCAGCAGTCGCATTGTATTCGTCAATGAGCAGTCTTTCCACATGTTTCAGCTCAAAAAAACTTGCGTAATAAATCGTTGTACCAAGATCGTTCCTATTCTCCCATTTGAAATTCGAGCCGACGAACCGAAAAGAATCTTTACAGCCTTCTTGGCCAAACCAGGCCTCTCTCCAATGGTACGAGTCCAGATATTGGACGATATATCTCGCTGTTTCCATGCCGTTTTGATATGAACAACCTCTCGCGTGAGATAGCCAGTGGCTGAAAGGGTACGTCCATATAATTCCATGGATGTTCTTTGCAGTGAACCCATTGATGTAATTTAGGCAGCATTCAAGAGCGAAGAGGTGTAGAGAGGGTTCACCAAAGCCATTCATATATGTGACATTCAGATGGGATGATATCAGATACTCGCGAACCGAGAAGTGAGACAATTGGACATATTCTCTGTAGTAAGTATCAGTGACCCTACAAAGATCATGCATAAGTTCATCCTGAAATTCATTATGTCTACCGTCGTCTTTATTGAGGGTAACCAAACTCCCTAAAATGTCAAGGAGTTCGTCTGGATTCTCGAATCGATTATCAACGTCGAACGAAGATTTCGAATCAATTCCTGCCGCTACGGCTTCAGCTAATTCATGGATCGTTACTTTCTCGCGACAAATCACCAGCCACTTCAGTGCAGCAACGACTATGTCTGTATAATCTTCATGGATATTTGAAAGCATCCTGTCGTATGTAGCATGTAGAGTTCGAGGCAGGCTCTTTAAAGTCTTTCGTAACATAGCTGGAGTGGGGCACCTTTTTAGGGCATCAAGCTGACAAGTCACCCACAGGAACCTACCACAAAGTAAGATTCTAGAACAGATAGGGCTATCTAGGGAATAAAGACTTACATTCCATTAGCACTGTCCCCCAATGTCATTTCTATTTCAGTCTTAATCTCAGGTGACCACTTTCTTAATTTTGTGTCGTTTTCCAACTGTTTTTTGACGTATTGGCGTGTGTCCGAGTTGACATGTTCATTTCTGATAAGAAAAGTTGAGACTTTGGGTATCTCATCTATGATTTCTTTGATGTCCGCTTCCTTCCGACTGGTCATAAATAGATGCAAACTTTTGTAAGCCCATGAAGATACCTCTCGCAGTAATTTGCAGACAACCTGTCGATTGCCTTGCTCGTAACCTCTAGGACATTCGTCCACTGCGTCTAAGATAAGATAAAAGGTTCCAGGCATCATCAATGCGGCTTTCAACATGGCTTTCAGAGTTTCTAATTGCGGAATAGTGAATTGAATATCTTTGTAGATGGCTAGAGCCCCATCGAGCGCGGCGTCATATTTGACGAGGAGTTGTACAAGAATTGAGCGCAGTAAATTGTTGGCATTTTGTTTTTCAGTTTCATTGAAAGAGAAGTAGTAATATGCGATGAAACAGTCAAAATTATTGGCACAATGATCGGTCATATTCTGAACAACTGTTGAGCTGTATGTCTATTAGCACGGGAGCATAAATTTGTTAATGGTGGTGGAGGGCTGCCCGTACCACAGAATTGTTTTGCCGCAGCCTGATAGACCCTGAACCCAAAGGAAGGAATTATCGCTCGTCTTCCAACTGCTGTATTCATTACTTTGAAGAAACCATGACCCGGTGCCAGGTTCAAAGTGTCTTCGCGCCAAGTCATGGTTTGTTTTCGGGTCTGCGGTCGACAACCACCGGAGAACCTCCTTTTTCTTAGATTCTGTTGCCACTAATCAGTAATTTCTGGGATTTGTGTTTAGACTGTCTACCTCGGGCTTTTATCTTTTCTTTAGATTCAAAATCCAATTTTTGATGAGCGATTGTGCATTTTATATCTTGTATGCCATCCTTAACGTCTCGAGTATGCTCGACGATGGTTGTATGGTTTGTATTGATGCTCTGATTATGAAGACTGATATCATGTCTGATGTCGCGAGCATCGTCTTTAAGATCTCGGATATAGTCTTCAATCCTCTGCGCATTTTTCTTGATATCTCGAGTGTCGCATAGAGCCTGCTGGGCGTACTTCTCGACTGCTGCAATGATTTGTCTGTAGTAAGACTTAGCACAGCTTTAATTTCCAACATGTATTTTAGACCGCGTACAGTTGATCGGACTGAATTGCAATATCAAATTGCTCCCTAATATCATCAAACTTTGACAAACATTTGTTGATTTTCCTGTCCCAAGACTTCCCTAACCCATCGATTAAACAAATTATTCTCCTCTAATCTTTGTTGGACTTCGTTGATGACTTCCTGACATTCTTTCCAGAGCTGTTCAGCTTGTTCAACGAGGCAGAATTGCCCTTCACTTTCATCAATCGCAGCTATATTTTTCAACCCTTGATATGAGGCAAGGAATCTCCGCAATGTCTTTAGCATACGCTCTAGATCAGTTCGATTATGTTCAGATAATCCAACTTTCTTAGACAAAGCTTGGGCTAGCTGAATGCAAGCAATGATGCTGGCTGAGAGTCCAAGAACGCTGACTGGGTCCATCTTGGTCCCCCTTTTGAACCTTGTCGGAGATCAGAAAACGAAGTATTATCAACAGCTAAACAAGACTAATTGCGCAAGGTCCAAAGTTTCTGTGGTTGTGTTAAAAAGAACGATACTGATGTTAGCAGACACTGATCAAAGAATCAAAAACGAGAATGAGAAGGGCCGTTCCTGAAAATCTTGTTTCCTGCGAAGGTTGGTGAGAGGTGAGATGAGATGTAAGATAGCCTGGATTTTCGCATACTCTATCGATAGGCTACATGAGCATAGCCTCACGAATCATGTTGTGTAACTAGCTGAGCCACCATACTCTGGATAGAGAAGTCTAACGGAGCAGCCAAACTACTGGGGTTAGTTGAACCTATACTCTCGAATAAACTCAAAAGATCGCAGAGTGCATTCATTCATTGTAATTTAGAACAGGAGTTTGCAACAGCTCGACTGTAGTTTAATGAGACGAGATGGGTTCCGAATCAAACAGGACATAGCAACGTGCGTACTATTCCATCGGTTTACCGATGCTGCTATTACAATAACAACTTTTTACTGTTATTTGCTTTTTTGCCATGATCCGAGCAACGTATGCAGTCTCCCTTCCTCTCCTAAGCCCCAAAGCTCCTTACTATCTCCTGAAAATCATCCCACATCTCCTGACCTGCCTAATACGCCTAGTTGGAGCCCTCCTTCCGCTTCTTTGTTCGAGGAGAGGAGGGCAGATTGCAAACGCTGGATCTAAGGCCGAACTACCCCAAGATCAATTACCCGTAAGGTAGAAGCTTCAAAATGAAAAGGATCGCAAATTATAGCAAGACTGTTGCTGACCAAAGCAAGAGCGGAGTAAATGGTGAAATGACAGGTAGAGAATGACATGACGTCGTCCAGTAAAACCTTCAATGACATGACATGACATGACATACACGTGTATTCAACGGCCCAAATATCAAAAGTGACAAACAAAATTTCAAAGCTCCTGAAAGAGCAGTTTTAGATGACTCTGGCCTTGAAGAGCCTTGCTGGAACTTTCTCTCAAGCAACCAAAGCTAATGAGGTTGTTTTATGCATCCTGAGCATCCCCCAAACTATCACGTGAACACTTTTTGACTTTCTCCAATTAATACTGTAGATTTGTTTTGTCCCCAGAATGACCATGTATACAGAGATGTAAGATATTGCCCGGCTCAAGAGTTTGTTAACGTGGTCAGTTGGGGAGATTGCCATGTATTTTGATAGAATCTTGCCAACGTATGTTTTGATACGTTGATGGCCGCTGTGATAAGTGGCATATTAGTCAATGTAAACACACATCAATCTGTAGGCCCAGCATGATGATAGCAAAATAAACAACGATTCATTTGGTGATGTCAACATGCCTCGGTTTAATTATCAAACAGAAGCTCCCTCTGAGTTGTTTTCACAGCAAAGACGAATGCGTCAGTGATGAAGTCTCTCCAAGAACGGGTCTCAAGAGTACTCCACCGCCACGCCGAGCAAGGTACGACGACGTGTTTTATGGACCTTTTTCGGGTATCTCTCCGACATCGTGCAGCTCTTGCGGCTCGGTCAACAAATAGTGGTACCGCACACTGGGTAACATGATTGTGGCAGTGACATATATTGCCACGAACGGTGACGGATCTTAACACGGTGAGTAAAATAGAGATGGCTGTGGATAGCAAAACGAATACGTGCAGATGAAGCTATGGTATGGGGACAGCCCCAGCTTGTATTGCATATTCAAACCGAACCACTCTTTGAAAAGGGCGGGGTTGGGGTTGCAAGTTGCTACGCCGCTGTTTTCTATTGATGAAGAAAGGAAAGACGAAGAAAAGGAAATTGAGAGGAAGGAGAAAGGGTGCATTTCATCCGTGATACTAATGCAGACCTGCACAGGCTGCACTGCCCTCTTTCAATTGCCGGACAAGACGACGAGTTATGGAGACTTTCCTGCCACCTCCTGAGTTTTGAATCGAATTGAAGTTTCGGTACGTGTCAATTGATGGCAGAGCTGACGAAGAAAAGAATGGCTGGAGATTACGCTCGGTCGCAATAGAAGAAAAGGAATGAAATGAGTATTTTCAGCAGTTCCACTTCGAAACTTCCGCTGGCTGGCTCACACAAAAAAAAACATCAAAGGTTTCTCAACTGTTGCCAAGGCTTTGCGGAGAGTGAGGTAACTTTGGGCGCTAATGGATAAAGCAATCTCGGACGGGAATCGGAAGCGGCGCAGTGTGAGAGAGTCTGGAAAAGAAGGCTGGGAAATTAAAATGAGTTCGAACAAGGGTCTGGAAACCTTAACAGGGTTCGCGATGGCAACCAATAGGATTGGCGTCTGATATCAACGGAAAGACCCCTTGACTTTGACTACCTAGATACCTAGTAATATTTGAAGCTTGGTTAGTGTGAAGCTGAAGGGTGTAAAAGTTAATGTCACCGAAGTGTGAGGTAAGAAAAAAAAGAGGAGTACCGAGGTGCAAAGACAACCAAGTGAAGAAAAGCTTTTTTCATGATCAACCAGATCATCAAATGAAACAGATTGCGTGTTTTCTTCTTATCAATCCGTATCAATTGTTTTCAAGACGACATGCTTTTGAAAGCTGACAAGTGTAGCTCCCTTGACATATTTAATTGAACCTATCAAAAATTAAACTGATTAATTGATGAAGCTCTAGATTTATTACACCATGTTCCTTCTGCAGAGTGCTGATATTTGATTCGACTTCTTTTCCATGTGAAGCTCGGGTAGAGAGATAGAGAGAGCTACCTGGTATGATGAGCTTCCCAGTTACGCTCCATCGATCTTATCCTATTCCTATCATCCAATCAATGCGCTCCACGATACGAGTCAACGTCAGGGGTCTCTCAAATGTGAGGAGCTGAAGCTTAAGGAAATTGAATTTATTTCTGACGGCATCCAAACCTAGACTTATCCATCTTCGACATGGTCTATCGCAGACGGCCAATGGTGAGGCTACCTAGATTCCTGTTTGGGATGATCGATTGATGGTCGTTTGTTTTCATTTGTAGAGATTCGAAAGGATGTCCAACCGGAGCGTGTCTTCTATCGGAAACTTACACGGGAAAGTAAAATGTTGCGATGGCTGGGGGCCGAGAACACATGAACACGAAGATCCACTGATGCTTCATACCCGATCGAGAAGGAAAGTGGAGTCTGGGAAGAGTGGAGAGCTCCTAGCTAGCTATGCATATGGAAGGACAAGAGAAGATGAAGACGAGGCCGATTACAGCAGAACCACAGCAGTGACCACACCAATTTCATGTGAAGCCTTGGAGTGGGAGATCTAGTTCGACGCCACCAATATCGATAAATGAAATTGCCGATGGTATGCTGTGAACATGATATTGCTCAGGACCTTGGAAAGTCAATAGTCGGGGATCGATCAAACAGTAGTGTATAGAGAGAGTACTAGGTAGTATCGAGGGATTTGAGTGGTTTGTTTACATTGCATCCTATTTGGGCTATATTGTGGACGATATTGATGGATGTTATTGATGTTATTGATGTTTTGACACTCTGGGGTAGCGAAGCGTGAGGTACCTTGCTAAGTTGTTATGGCGTGTTGTGAGTGAAGGTTAATAACTCCATAAGAGAGGGAAAGGGAAGAAAGAAAGAGTCAAAAGGAAATTAGAGTGACCGTGACCGTGAACGTGACCGTGACCGGGACCGGGACCTACTAGGTAGACATATGTATTCAAACCAAACTTCACTCAGTTTCATTATTCAATAGAGGGAATCATGGGATGGAAATTACTAGGTAGGGTAGGTAGGTGTCCATCGTAGTAGGTGGTCGAGGATTCCGTAGCTCAAGAAAAGACTGTACCACGATTGACATTACAATTTGGTCATGTCTTATGTCCGTCTTCTCATCCATCACACATATGTCACTCTCATCACCCTTCCATTCATGATCCATTCATGATCCATCCATCTATCATCCATCATCCATCATCCATCATCCATCATCCATCATCCATCATCCATCACCATCCATCATCCATCACCATCCATCATCCATCACCTTGTCCATCCACGTCCCCCATCAATCATAAAAGCAGCCCGTCTTCCCTACCACTTTTTCATCACTTTCTGCACTGCATTGTAACTCGGCTTCCTACAATGTAATGTAACCATTCACCATGACAATTCTGAGGTAATTACTTGATGCAGTTAGTCCGAAATAATATCATATCCCAATTATCCCAATATCGCCATAAAGTGAATGTAAACAATGTAAACAAACAAATAATCTTGCCTAGGTATACCTAATAAAAAAATCACCATGGCGGTCGGTATAATTTAAATTTGAATGACCCTGCTGGCTGCTTTGATGGAAAAATTGGAAATAATTGAATATCCAACCACCTTGATTTCTCTAAACTTGCTCCCACCACCCTTCTCATTCAGTTCACCCTACCTACCCTTCGCAAATTCGCAAATCTCTCTCCACCATCTTCTTTCCCTCTTTCAATCCTCCCCTCCCACCCCACATCAACACAAATACAACCTCAAAATCGCATCCCCAATCAATTTTGTACACACACACTCTTCATACCTACCTGCCTACCTACCTACTTTCTCCCATTGCACTCTCGCAATAACATCAATATCCTCTTGCTACTCTTTGTTCATCTTGAAAGACCTCAAAATATATTTTTTGAATTCTGAAAGACGAGTCAAGAAACGTTACCCGTAAACGTTTTCTTCCCTCTTCCTTCTACCTCAAGAAGTAGAGATCCTTCTTGTGATATCCTTTCGGTACGCTGAAAGGTATTCGAGAAGTGTTCTCGCATTGAAAGGTCGTCAACCTGGACTTTGACGCACGAGTACCGATCCCCTTCAGCATCTTCCCGTCGTCGTATAGAAGCGACGTCGCTGCCCAACCCATTCAGACCACCGAGACTCACGTCGAAGGTGAAATCACTCTACACCATCATCACGAGCGCGTCGGACGGGAAGGTCAAGAAGAGGACGCTCAATCTCTTTACTCGCAACACCAACATCAACTTCAACACGATCATCAACACGAACACGAACCCGAACAACAACATCACCTTCCCCCTCCTCCCCAACGACAAGAGTTTATAGAAGAAGAGGTTCGCATCACCCGTGAAGAAGATCGCCGTTCTGAATACCGTCCGAGCAGCCGAAGAGAAGAAGAAGTTTATATTCGTGAAGAACGCAGGTGAGTAACTAAAAACAAAAAAACCAGTCCATTTCTTTTACCGTCTCACAAACTCTCCTTTCTACCAAAATCCACTATCTATCCAAAAATCACATCCAAAACAAACGAGACACAAATCATCATCATACCAGACCAGACCGACCAGCTGGAGCAAAAAATAACATCCACAATACTTGTTTCCCCCCTTCACCTCCATTTTCACCTCTCTTTGGACCCTTTTCCCAACTTTGGCACCAATTCCCAATTTTTCTTTCTTTTCTCGTTCTACAACATTAATAATAATAAAAAATAAAAAAGATCTGGCCATGTCGGAAGAAGCAGTACCCAATTAACAATTAATTGGGTCCCTTCTGAGACAAATTTGCCAGCTTTCTTGTTTTTTATTATTACGACGCACAGTCCAACGATCTTCGGTTTAGTCCCAGCCCCCCCCCCTTACCCCAAAAATAACATGGGCTTCTTTTTTTTCTTTTACTGTTGACACAGTAACGCTCACCGTTTAATTTTCTTCATTAACTGACACTTTTGTTTTCTCTACCCTTCTTTTAGACCCGAACACAAACACAAACACCACTCTGCTTCCTTCGATATCAACACCCCACATCACCACAGACACTTCGAAGCTTCTTTTGAAAGAGACAGTGATCGTCACCACAAACACTCTGAAGTTAATATCGAACTTCCCCGTCGTGAACATCATCATCATCACCATCATCAACGTCGTCAATCTTCTGAAGTAGACTTTCAACTTGAACGTCAACGTCAACCTCGTCACTACGAACCATCTGAAGTTGATACTCAATTCTCTGCTCCTCAAAAGAGTCCTACCGAGACAAACATCGACTTCGTTGAACGTCAATACCGTTCCCGAACCCAACCAAGCTACAAGGAAGACACTGTCATCGTCGACCCTCCCAAATCCCGTGTATCTGAACCAAGATACATTGAAGAGACTCGTGTAACTGAGACTACTATCGTCCCAGCACCCCGTTCAACTCACTCCCACAAAGCCAAGTCAACCTTCCACGAAGAAAAGTTCGAGGAAGAAGTTCGCGTCAAGCAACCTCGCACACCAGCCAGATCTACTTTCACCGAAGAAGTTCGTGAAAGAGAACTCGTCAAGTACACTCCCCCCGCACCCAAATCAACCACTTCAACTTTCAAACCAGTCAATCTCGAAATGGGTTACTACGATGATGAAGGTAAGCTTCCTGTTTGTTTTTTTCTCTAACCCCCCACCATGTACCCTAAGCATTCAAAATCAGGGAACTATCACTCCCTTCGTGGAGGTTACTACCATGGACACGGGAAAACTTTGAACCAGGACCCAATTGACTCTCTCGATTTAGCCGGAGCCCCAGCCGTTGCTGCTCCAAAGCAACCTGCCAACACCGTTACCATTCCTTGCCACCACATCCGTATGGGTGACCTCTTGATGCTCCAAGGACGTCCCTGCCAGGTTATCCGCATCACCACCTCCGCTGCCACTGGCCAACACCGTTACTTGGGTGTCGACCTCTTCACCAGACAATTGAATGAAGAGTCCTCTTTCATCGCCAACCCAAGCCCAAGTGTCGTCGTCCAAACTATGTTGGGACCAGTCTTCAAGCAATACCGTGTTCTTGATCTCCAGGACCACTCTGGTAAGTTTCACCTACTACTTCCTCACACACATCTCTTACTAACATCAACTTAGTTGTTGCCATGACCGAGACCGGTGATGTCAAGCAAGCCATTCCTGTTTTGGACCAATCCAACCTCTGGACCCGTCTTAAGGAGGCCTTCGAAGGTGGACGTGGTAGCATCCGCATCATGGTCGTTGCCGATGGTGGTCGTGAGATCGCTGTTGACATGAAGACCGTCCACGGATCCCGTCTGTAGATTTCCTGTACCAATCACCATGGCGTCCAACCGGCAATAATCCATTGGCCTTTCCTCGATGGAGTTTCCTTTTTGTTTTCATGATTTTTTAGTGCATTTTCGGAGGGAAAATTTGAAACGTATGACGGGGTAGATATGGATTCAGATTGATTAATGAGGGATGAAATTTGGACGATCGGGTTTTTTTATCTGATCTATCGGATTCTTTTAGTTTAACGAAGTATTCAAGTAGGTCCTCGATACCACCTATGGTGATACTACTTTGGTGGTTTTTCATATGGTGGTTGAGAGAGTCCTTGATGCTGCGGTCTTTTTCTACTTTGTAATTGTGTAAATAGGAAAAGATCCAGAATGAAAACACGCTGCTTGTCTATTACTTTTATCTTTCTACGCTTGGATTGCTTGGATTCCAATGTGTGACTGGCTCGTTGCCCTTAAGAATGTGTCGTGTTGAAAAATGTTACTTGACCAAATTCCCCAGCCATGATGATTAGATGTGTCCGACTCCCACTTTCGGCTGAGGGATCAACCTTAAATTGCCGTATAGAATCCGAGTGGGGGTCTGACATCTTCAAGTCATTGATTTCGTAAGAAGTACTCAAGCCAAGTAAGGGTACCTTGATGGCTCAATACGGGCTCGAGTACCTTCTTTATCTAGAAAGGACTGCACATGATACCATTTTCCTATACTCCCCGCCATTCACATAGCTTCTGAAGATAAGCTCAACAGATAAGACAATCACAAGATCCTGAGTCCTTTCATTGAATCAATTAATCATTTATCCAAACCTTAATACGTACCATCTGTTCTGCTCCTATTTTCCCGCTTTTGTCTTCACTCGTAACCTCATCACCCAAACCTTCAAATCCTCTTTGGGTTGCTCCATCTACACTTATTCCTATCGACGTTCTCATCTTCATACCGTCCCTACACACATACACAAAATCCACAAGCATTACGCAATGGGTTCATCGCAATCAACCCCTAATTCTACTTCCCCTGCAGAAGCCCAACGCATTCTTCTGGAGAAGATTCAGAATATGCAGCTTCAGACTGAGGAAGATGATTACATACATGTAAATGAGAAGGGTGCTGCTTATCAAGCTACTTCGCGAGCTCAGTGGACTCCCTTGAGTGCTGCGAGAGTTGAAAAGTGGGAGGAGGAACTCTTGAGTGATCCTAAGAATCGGTATGTGTGATTACTGTGCATTCCAGCTGCATTATGCTAATGTCAATATCTCTCTAGCCTAGCTCTTAGTGCTCTCAGCAGCGCCGATCCACGAACAGTCCTCACATCCCGCACCACCCTCAATCAAGACCAACAAATCTTCTCCATCAAAATACCTTTTGAGGGAGCTCCAATAACTAACCAGCGACAATCAGGACGATGTTGGTTGTTTGCCTCTACCAATGTCTTTCGTGTCGCATTGATGAAGAGACATAACCTCAAAGAATTCGAGCTCTCCCAAGCTTATCTATTCTTTTGGGATAAATTGGAGAAGGCGAATTGGTTTTTGGAACAAATCCTTGATACGGTGGGAGAGGATTTGGATGGAAGATTGGTGCAGCGATTGATGGAGAGTCCGGTTAGTGATGGCGGACAGTGGGATATGTAAGTTTTGCTTTGCATGAAATAAACTCTTGACACTCGAATTCTAACAACTTGGATATAGGGTTTACAACCTTGTCAATAAATATGGTCTCGTACCCCAAGTTCTCTACCCAGATAGCTTCAACGCCCAAACATCTTCGGTGATCAATAGTATCATCACAACCAAGCTCCGAGAAGATGCTCTTAAACTACGCGCTGCAGCTACTACAAAATCTGCCTCTACTCTTAACAGTCTAAAAGAGCATATGGTTCGCCAAATCCATCTCATCCTAACTCTTGCTTTGGGTCCACCACCTGCCTCTGATACAGCTTTCACATGGCAATATCTAGACAAAGACGACAAAGCTCAAGAATTGAAAGTCACCCCCATTCAATTCGCCAAGGAATTGAACACACCAAAATCAATCAGAATCACCAATTCCACAGTCCACGATATGTTCTCTCTAGTCAACGATCCTAGAAATGAATACAATACTCTCCTGACTGTCGATCGTCTCGGTAATATCGTAGGCGGCCGTCCAATTACCTATGTAAATGTTTCCATGTCCGTCATGAAAGCTGCTTGTATTTCCATGTTAAAAGCTGGTCTCCCAATATTCTTCGGCTCAGACGTCGGTAAATACAGTAACTCCAAATCCGGAGTTATGGATCTCGATCTTATCGATTATGAATTAGGATTCAATATCAAACTTGGAATGAGTAAAGCACAACGTTTAATGACGGGAGAAAGTGCAATGACTCATGCAATGGTTCTTACAGCCGTACATTTAGATGAAGAGGGAAAGAGTGTTAGATGGAGAGTTCAGAATAGTTGGGGAGAGGGAGCAGGAACAGATGGCTGGTTTGTAATGAGTGATGCGTGGATGGATGAATTTGTTTATCAGGCAGTTGTGGAACCGAGGTTTGTATCAAAGAGTGTTAGGGATGTGCTTGGGGGCGAGGCAAAGGTTTTGAACTTGTGGGATCCGATGGGTGCTTTGGCTTGAGGAGGGAATTATGATGAGTGAGCGATGGTATATGATGATATGAGCTTTTGGTTTGAAGGTAGACAATCAATGCAGACATAGCATTGAGAGGAATAGGAAAGGGGAGTTATGAGTTATGAATGATGGGGCTGGGATGGTAGTTATGATACCAATTCGCGACTCAAGACTAGATAATAAAAATAGCTCTAGCATCTTCCAAAGCCAAAGATCAGATATGGCAATTGTAAATGTATTTTGATGGTTGAGATGGGATGAGTTGAGTTGTGGCATGATAAGTTGAGGTGAGGTGAGATAAAGATAATGAATTGGTTTTTAGATGAATGAATCAGTAGGTAGATGGACGGATCAATGGATGAATGAATATATGAATAAGTATTTAATTATCATAATTTATACTAAGATATATCATGCCAGGCTATAAGAGCAGATATGGTGAAAGGCTGCACTGTATACCTACTAGATGAGATATTATATATTATGTATTATGTATCTAGGAGCGAGAAGTCGAAGGTGTGAATTTGTGAAAGTTTTGAATGGGATGGGGGATGGGGGATGTTGGTTCTGTGTAAGGAAGGGTGTGTTTGGATCGATTTATTTTGTTTTGTTTTGGATGGGATGGGATGGGGGATATGATGTGAGGATAAGAGGATGGGTTTGGGTGTAGAGGGGTTGTGAGGAGTTTTGAGAATGAATTTTATTGGTTCGAGATTGGAATGGATTGTGTTGGGAGGTGTGAGGTTTGAGGTGTTATAATATGGAAAGGGTGGCGTGGAAAGAATGACATGGAAAGAACTTTCTGTATGCTACGATTTTGTTGGTTTGAGAAAGACACGAAAGACGTCGCACCCACGTATTCGTAGATCCTAAATTTCCATACTATATTCTGTCTAAAGAGCTAGCTATTGTAATCTTACAAATAATAGGCATAGGCCTTAAATAAGGGTCTCTTTGGCTTTCACTTGGGTTTCATACATTCGTCGTTGAATTGAAGTCATTCACGTAGGCTACCTATATTCACACGGATTTATGTGTGCTGGAAGAAATTTGATGCCTAGTGATTAGTGATGGATATTCGGGAATTTCATGTACTTTTTCTTATTTGCTAGATGTATATTGTGTTATGTTATGTGTGGGTGGTGCTTGGAAGTCGAATAATTCGAATTCGAATCCGAATGATGGGGAACTCTATCTACACACTTCACCCATGGAATACGCAGTCCTATAAGACTATCCCTACTATGTATATACCCATATGCAAACCCGCATTCCCACCATAAAACCCCCGGAATCAAATCCAACTCAAATCAATAAATCATCTCACAACGCCACCTCCGGGAGATCCCAAAATCCATCATCCGCACTAGGAAACGCGAGCCAGAAATTATCATCCAGACTCATCAGAAACTCATCTTGCAGGTAGCTTTCTGGTATCACTAGTGGTGCTGTGGCTGATTCGTCTTGTTGGTTGAAGGGTTGAGTGATTTCTTCTTCGAGTGAGGAGCTTGAGGCGGGGGTGTGCGGGTAGAGGCTTGCTTCGTACCAGCTTTTGATGCGGAGGAGTTGCCGCGAGAAGCGAACGAAGATGTCTTTTGAGGGGGTGGGGGTTATGGAGATGGATGGGGGGTTTTGGGGTTGGGGCTGAGAGTGTAGTTGTGGTTGTTCGGGACTTCTACCTCGAATGGATATGATTTTTTTGAGTTTTTCGATCAGGAAATTAATTGTGTGTTGGATGTTTAGGGCTGCGCGGGCGCATTCTCGATCCCAGCCGTCGGCTTTGCAGGTGCATAGTTTTAGGGCGACGAGAATGCCATAGCCGACTTGGACCCAGGTGGTATAGGCAGCTGCGATGGAAAAGTCTATCCATTGGGTGACTTTGTCATTGAGAAAGGATTTGACGGATGTTAAGCAGGAGTTGAGGATGCTTAGTCGCTCGAGACTATCTGCAGATGTGAAGTCGGCATCGTTTAAGCCCGCCTCGTAGAGATTGATTTCGGCAATGCTGTAGTTGATTGATATGAGGACTATTTCAGGGAGTTTTAATAAGAAATTAGGGGGTACAGGAAGCGAGGGAACTAACAGTGGGACTTGAGATTTTCTGGTAGCTCATGTTTGAAACTTTCGAGTTCTCTCTGCAATAAATCCATATACATCTTTCGCGGAACGATACGAGGACCGAATCCCGCTTCGAGATTGAAGAATGTGTGTTTGATCTTCCTCGTGAGTTGTTGCAGCTTCACTAGATGGAAAAGAAGTATGTCGCTCTGTAACCCTCCTGCTTCGGCTACCGTTTTGCATGCTTCTTCGAGTTGGACTGTGTATCTCATACTTTCCACGCTACTACCTGGTGGCATCCTAGTGAAAAATGTTAGTTAATTCAAAGCCATTTTGATTTCCCGGTTGGGAATTTACATTGAGGTGGCATAGAAACATCCTGCGTAAGCCCGAAGCTCCTCAAGTCTCCGACTACTTAATTTATCTTTATTGGCTTGCCGGGCGCCTGACAGAATATTAGAATCAGCAAAGAATAGACTGTAGTATTGTGATCGATTTTTGAAGTCAAGTAAACACTTACCATCAACCAATACCTTCGACGTAGCCGTACCCTGTTTTAATGATCGTTGTAAGCCAAGAGTTGTAACCATCGACTTCACAAGGTAAATCAAATTGAATGTTTGATTATTTATGATAGATTGATAATGAAACCTATTACCATTAGTAAAATACTATTGGTAATAATGAGAACACTGGCAATACCATCCAAGATGAACAAGCAAAGCTTGCAATTTGTCTAGACTAGCAGTCTGGCCTCTTAACAACAATTCAGTGATAAAATTCTCGAAAGAGCGAATCCCAAAAGCATCTTGAAAAGTCGGATTTCGGTGAGATGCAGCCGTAATGATAGCTTTCCATAAAAACGGTCTCTCTGCTTGGAATTGGCGAGGTGAGATATTTGGGGGTATGAGGACGAATGGACAGTATGGAGCCATGTCACTTTTGAAAATGGCTAATAAGGCATGTGCATAATCATCGTCAAGATCGATTATGGGAGGTATATTTAGCGACGAGGAATATAAATCTGTATTCGCGCAGTTGCTAGTGGATGGGGTCTTGAGATCATCACCGAAACACATTGATGTCTCATCATTTGGGGTCTGTTCAGTGACATGGTCTAGCAAGTGTGGTGGATCAATAGATTTGATCTCCATTGGGACGTCATTCTGAGATTGTAAGTGTGGTGTATCAATGGACTTTGTATTCATCGGGATGTCATTTTGACGTTGTGCAGTTGATGCTTGTGGTATATGATTCGAAGTACTCAGAATAGTAACGATATCATCTAATTTCTTCTCGAGTCCAGCCACGGAGCTAGATGAACTCAGTATAGAGCGTTAAGTCAGGCTTCTCATATTACTTACGTAGTTTTGAGTCTTTTTTTCGGCTTATTTGGAGGTTCGCATTCTTTTCGAAGTCGTTGACAGCTGAACATCAATAATTTAGCGAAAGAAGATATTGAGGGTTGAGAAAACCTACCGATAGCATTTATCGCCCATGGGATCAGACGGCATACATTTCACCTTTGCTCTAGCACATGTTCCGCATGCATTGTTTTGCGGTCCATAGGCTCTTTTTGGGTGTTCAACAACTGGAGCTTCCATTCCGGGAGGTAAGGTTAATGGAGGTGATTATCACGTGTCGGTTCTCCCGCGCAGTTAAGTCTTAAGAGGATACTTTCGGAATAGCTAGGCTTGCACAGTGAAAGAGGCACGCTCAAGAAGTTAATACGGAAATCTACGAGGACTAAAACTTTGAAGGTTACTATTCTTCAGATGGCAAGTCGTTGAGCTCTCTCCTCAAACAGGAGATGACGAGCGGGAACGGCTTCCGTCTCCGCTCCATAGCACGTGACTTTACAATATATTGTTTCATCCTGACTTCATGAGAGGATGTGGTGTTGCTCACCATGGCAAAAGAAATAACGATGCCAAAAAAAAACTGCACACGGCGTTAAATATTTGACATGGTTCGATATTATTTTGTAAAGAGACTCTTCTTCACGTGTACGGGTAGTTGCCCGAGTGCACAGATTCTCGGAGCTCGAAATCAATTTTGTACATTGTGAGTATGGCATCATTCACATCTCTCAATTGTCCGAGTTCTCGTGCACCTGTTCGGCCAATTTTCTCTAATCGAGAAACCGTTGGACGATCTGATCTATAGTGCTGATACTTCCACGGCAATCTAGATTACTTTTTATAAAAGAAGCTACAAGAACCGATGCACGAGCAGCTGCTAGTTCGAGATCTGCATCCGTTGTACTTGGCATGACCCTCTTCTTTCCTTGACCAACTTCCTCGATCTATTTTGTACAACGGTTTGATGATGGATATAAACTGCGTCAGGACTTGTCAAGCACATCCGATGGATGAATCGAGGCTATTGGAAAGTTCCAACTGCTATATGGATCGTGATGATCAAAGCTTTCATTTTAGCCTTGTTCCCCAAGCACTAGAGAAATCATGAAGATATCTGGAGTTGCCATCTCGCGAACATAGGAACTTTTTGCTATCGGGTTGCCCCGGAATTTTCAGGGACAGGGCGCATCTGCCGTTAGCCTTCCGATCTCAGCTCGATCTAGAATCGTTACGAAGGACCGATTTGATCGTCTTCTGATGCTGAAAAGTTACGTGACATTCAGTGGTATAACGTTCATGTAGTTACTCTCGGAAGCGGGGGTTTGTGTGGGACAACGAGCTGGAGTAGTACGATCAAGGCTGTAGTTGCCTCTACAACATTTGTTTAGGCCGTCTAGAGGCGAGCTTGCGGGGGGGACATGTGTGAAAAGATATCTTGAAGTCATAGAAACTACTTGGAAGATTCAATAGCGAAGATGAATTGTGTCACTGTTCCGTGAGCGATATCTCCCTTGTAGTACCGCATTCATGTATAAATACCCCAGGATACCACTCAGGAAGATGGATTTCAATCATTATCTACCCACTTCTTCGTCTCAACATCTAATAAACTTGTTCTCCAGTCCTCTTCATTTTCTTGCCTAACTCAAACCGACGAAATGGTTGCCATCAAAAACATTTTCTGCCTCATCACTGCAGTTACTGCTGCCACTATTTACCAGCGTACACCAGCGACTCTTCTCACAGATATAACCACCATCGATACAAATGTCAAAGCACTTACGACTGCAGTAGACAACTACAACGGTGGATTCTTCAATCTCCTTACAGTGAGCAGCACTGAATCAACTTTAGAAACTTGTAAGTTCTGATTAAAGTTGTCATATAACCCATACTAATCATTCACCTTAGCTATCAAGAACGCTGCCAACGATGCCGCCAACACATCCCAATTATCCTCAGACGACTCCAACAGAATTCTCAATGAAATCAATAATCTGATTCCCGATATTCAAGATGCACTCAATGCGCTTGTAGCAAAGAAGTCTACATTCGCTAACGCAGGGGTTGCTTCAACCGTTAAGGGTGACTTGGCGAGTTTGAAAAAGGAAACTGATGATTTTGGAAGGAATCTTCTTGCCATTTCCTCGTCTGATGTAGAGCCACAATTATCTGCGGCTTTGAATACGATCGATAACGATTTTACCACCGCGCAGGCTGCATTTTAAGGTGTTCGCATATTTGACAATGGCATTTTGCAGGAATGTGGAGGTTAGTGGCTAGGAAAAATTGATTAGATTGAGTCGGAATTTGGGACAACTGATAGCTTTGAATGAAGTTTGAGATGAAAACAGATTGTCCAGAATTTGACATTGGTTGAATGCAAAAATAATATCGTGAAACCACTTTCTTGCACATGTGAATACCTAGTATCAAATCACCATTGCTTCAAGCGTGCCAAAATTTATAGATTATTCACCCATATCTTTGGATAACTCACTAGAATCTGATGTTCTATTGAATGCTCGAATCTTTTTTAAATTATATTTGAACCTGAAGAAGACTACTTAATGGTGAAGAGGACTAATCTGAGACTTGAGAAAGAATCCGGCACGCAGCAGCGAACTGAAGATTTACTACCCACGAATCTCGTAACATAAAAACAAAGTGTCAATCAACATATCCGTGAAGTATCAAAACTTTTGTGAATTATATGTAATGTGATCAGTATCAAATCTAAAACATGCATCGTATTTATTATTTAAGGGGTCCAGTTGGTGTATTGTTATTGGTTTAACTGTGTTACATAAGCCGAGGCTGATGACATCGGAACTTGAGACTTGATGTCCCTCAACTCGAATGAATTCCAAAGAACAAAACTTCAATGATTTAAGCTGTATTACCAGCAGATACCATGAACCATGTTCAATTTCTCAAGCTTTGTGCAAAAGGCTCAATCATTCATTGACCCAACTCAAGCTCTCAATATCTCTGCTTCTGATCGCAACCCTGCCAAATCTACGCTCTTCCGCAATCAATTCCGATTACCAGATTCCCAAACCCCTCTACAAGAAATCACTGCAGAACTTACTATAGCCCCACCAAATCAATACTCACCGAATGCTACACAAGGAGAGAAGGACAGAGATAGAGAGAGAGGGTTTCATTATGCGGGAAAGTTGCATTTGAGTGAAGCATATCTGTGCTTCTCGACACAACCTACAAGTTTCCTTCAAACGGCGAGTACAGGTACATCTTCTGGATTCAATGGGCAAACACACGGTGCCGGACCTGGAGGGAATGGATTCACATTACCTTTATGTGCCATAAGACGAGTAGAGCGTCTTCATAGTCAATCCTATCAAGTATGCATTCCTTCTTTACCGCATGATTTATTGCTGACATGGAGTAAAGTTTGCTTTGGCTATTACCACCTGGAATGGAATCACAAACACATCAGCGAAAGATGGCTCAAAACAACCTACATATCAACAAAAAATTACAATAAATCTTGCTGGAACGCGCCAAGCATGCGAACGGTTTTGCGATGGCTTAAAGAAAGGACTGAAATCGGGAGTAGGTGAGGTCGCAAAGATGAAACGTGTTGTAGCAGAGTGTTATTCGGAGTATTTGCTACAAGGCGACAGCAAGACAGGAGAAGTTCCGGATGCAGGACTTGGAATGTTATTCAGATATCCGGGCGACCTTCGGAAATTACGAGACAAAAGTAAGATGCGACTATGGGGAGAGTATCTTCGAGAAAATGGGCGGAATGTCACATTAATTCGCCAACCTACATTTCATAAGCTGATTCGAGTTGGATTGCCGAATCGACTGCGAGGAGAAATATGGGAGCAAACATCAGGGTCATTGTTTTTACGCTTGGAAAACCCCACGTTATATACAGACACTCTAGCGAAGTTTGAAGGAAGAGATTCTCTTGCGATTGATGAAATTGAAAAGGATCTCAATCGAAGTTTACCGGAATACCCTGGATTTCAAAGTGCGGAAGGTATCGATCGATTGAGACGAGTTCTTACAGCATATAGTTGGACCAACGAAGAAGTCGGATATTGCCAGGCTATGAATATCGTTGTGGCAGCACTATTAATTTATATGTCTGAAGCCCAAGCTTACTTCTTATTATCCGCGTTATGCGACAGGTTACTTCCCGGATACTATTCACAAACCATGTACGGCACTCTGTTGGATCAACGCGTGTTTGAGTCTTTAGTAGAGAAGACTATGCCAATATTATGGGATCATCTCGTCAAATCGGACGTTCAACTTTCAGTCGTTTCTCTGCCTTGGTTCTTGTCACTGTATATTAACTCTATGCCTCTCGTATTTGCATTCCGTGTTTTAGATGTTTTCTTTTTAGAAGGTCCAAAGGTACTCTTTCAAGTCGGTCTCGCTATTTTACGCATAAATGGAGAAGAACTTTTAGATGCCACTGATGATGGAGCTTTTATTTCTGTTCTGAAAGGGTATTTCTCGAAATTGGATGAATCTGCGCATCCAAAATCCGAGAATGCAAAATTACGAGCAGTCACACGATTTCAGGAGTTGATGGTTGTTGCTTTCAAGGAGTTCTCAGGGATCACACAAAACACCATTGCAGAGCAGCGTATGAACCATAAAGATGCTGTTTTGAACAGTATTGAAAGTTTTGCAAAACGAACCTCAATACGAAACTTAGGTCCGGAAAGCAAAAAATTGAGTGTTGACGAATTGGGTGCTTTGTATGATAGGTTTTATGGCGTATTATACGAAAGACAACAAAGGAGTCAAATGATACAAGAAGAAAAAGAAAGAAGAGCAAAAGCCAACAGAGCTAGTGTGATTGCTGGATTAGGAGAGAACCAAAATATCGAGAAAGGTAGAGTGGGTCTTGGTCCAAGTCCTACTCTCATGGATTACGATTGTTTCAGAGAATTCCTTGCTGGAATGACTAAATGGGCTGTAACAGACTCCCCATCAGCACAAGAAAAGGAACTCGAGAAGGAGAAACATTCTTATTTTGGGAATTCTTTGCGACGTCGAGATATTTCCCTTTCTCCTTGGGGTTTTGGTAACCCTGAACCAGCTGACCACGAATTTATGCAACGACTTTTCCGAAGATGGGATGTGGATATGAACTCCGCACTGACTTTACAAAATGTCGTTACAGGATTGGCACATATCAAGGGAAAAGGTGATATTATGGGAAGCATTACATACTTCTTTGAACTTTATGATGATGA